CTTATTATATATATATATATATCTGATATGCTTTTATCATCAAAAAATAATTTTATATTAAATGTTATCTTAAATTGCATTTTCTATGAAAAAATTTAGATAAATACATTAAATTGATAGTGTTGACAATTTAATAGGATATATAATATAATATTGCTTTATATATAAATTACAGTATATTTATATATCAATATAGGTTTATTCCTACACTATATTTGTTTATTATTATTCAAAGTATAAATAGATATGTCATCTAAAAATATATTATTAAATGTAAATTGTTTTGTAATAAACAACATAGGTGTATTAAAATAATTTTATTTATATGAGCTATGTAAATTTATATGTATATGTATACATATATTATAGTATTACTATTATTATAACGACATTTGACATTTGAAAATAACATACAAAAAAAATATTTAACTAAAATAAGTATATATTCAGTAAAATCTTTTTAATAAAAAGTAGATTAAATTACTTTAAGTAAATATTTTATTAATTCTACATCTATCTTACAATTATCAAACAATTACAATTGAAATTGTATGAATTGAAGTTTTTTGCGTGTATTAAAAATGTATTGTTAAATTATTTTCATACAAAATCATCAATAAATGAAAATTAAACAAAAATTTATGTTTGAACTAAACATTTTTCAAAATACAGTTTGTTCTAAATATAGTCACCAAAAAACAATAATTTCTATGTAAATGTTTGTTTGATGTGTAAATTATTAATACCTAAAAGCATTATTCATTGATTTTTATTATTATTATTATTTAGTTACCATAATGTATGAATTAATGCGTTTTTTATATATTATATTATATGTAGATTTCATATTATATGTATATTTATAATATTTACATGAAAACTTATTATCATTAAGATCCATTATAATGTATAAACAAAATAATATAAAAACATTAGAAAACATTAAATTTTTATTATATTATATATCTTGTAAATGTTAAATCTTTTGTATCATATGTAATGTTAAATGATTTAACTCAAAAAAAAATATTGCAACTATTGTGTATTTTTAGCTTCATTGTATTAAATATATACAGTATATATATAAATAATTTTATTGATATATATATATATAGCTATTCAATCAATTTATTATTATTATTTAGAGACGCCAAATTGATTATGAATAGTCATTTAGTGTAAGGGCAACAAATAAAAACAACAACAATACTAATATTAACAATATATCCCATCACACAAAGTCACCAAATAATAATAATTCCTCATATATATAACATACCAGTCCTCTATGTATGTATATACTGTATATGTTGTCAAAATGGGATGATCGATAGGACTTCACTACTTTTTTTTTGGTGACCCATATGTGTGCTCTTCCGAATAGTAGTCAATCAAATTATATATACCAATATATATACAATATATATATATATATAAATTTATATAATTTATATAATTATATATATATATACATGTATATATGGTATATAAACTGTACTTCCATTAACCAACAAAATGGTCGATATATAGACATTTTTATATTAATAAAAATTTAATTGACAATCAAAAATCATATTCATATATGATTCATATAGAGAATTGATATATTAAGTATATGTATTAATAATATATATACAATATATTAATATATAGTATATTGAAACTATTAGTGATTACATATATTTATTATATATTTGATTGGATAATATTATAAGCTATTAACCAGGAATTTAATATACTGTCTATTACTGAACTATATCTATTTGAAAAATGGTCAGTTTTGTGCAACTTTATATATATATATAATATAATATAGCACAATATATAACTGTGTACATACAGTACAGTACTATTTGATATATTATATTATTGGGTTTGAAATATTTATATACTGTTTGTATATATGTTTCATCTAATGGCATCCAATAGTAAGACAGTATATTTTCAATACTCCACCACATTTGGCAAAAGGCTTTCCATCAATAAAAATGGTTATATATATCACATAGAAATATACAATATATTGTATACAGAAACACACTCATACACATACCTATGGATCTCATGCGCACATGAATACAGTTATATAATAATATACTACTTTAGCTCACTATTTTATTTATTGTATATGTTTGCTAAAAGACATCATTATTATAACATTAGATTTAGCGCACTGTGCCGTACAATATATAAGGTATATATATTTATATATAGATATATAAAGACAAATCGTGACACAGTATTGGAGAATATTCTCTACAGTTTTGTACGACTACTCCACCCGATTCCTTAAGACAGCCCAACCCATTGAATATTGCTATATATATATGAGTGGGTATGTGTGTGTGTGTGTKTGTGTRTGTGTGTGTGTGTGTGTGTGTGTTTGTGTGTTTGTGTATATGTGTATTTATATATTTATTAGTATAAAAATAAACAATTAATTAATTAATAATTTAGCGATTAATTTATAATTAAATCATATTAGCGTTTATTTGAATTAATTATAAGCTTTCACAGATGATATAATTTGTATTGATATATAAATTTTTGTTTTATTAATATTATAATAATAATACAGTGAAAACTTTTCTGACCTTAGTATATGACAAAATGTTTTTTATAATAACTTGAATATTATCACATAAATCAATTGAGATAATAATTAAAAGAATTGCTTAATTAACTATTGTCTATAAATATTTATATTCTGTAAATTAAAATTGATACATAATATTTAATATATATATATTATATGAATACTTTTACTAAAAAACGTTTAAATAATTTAATTAATATATATAGTAATTGCTATTAAACTTACAAATTAAAAATCTATTCTATACAAAAGATAATTATAATTGTAATTATTATTAAAGCAAATTTTTATAAATATATATATTATTGCATTTTTAAAACTGAAAATAATATTTAATTTAGTTTTTATAGATTTTTAATAGAAAATGAAATTTATATTAAATATTTATAAATATTTTTTTTTTTCAAAGTATATACTGTGTTTAAATATAATTTTTTTCATTTATTTTGATATTTTTTGAAATTTGAAGTTAATGTAAATATACATTTAGGCTATTATTGTTAAAAGCATTTGAGAAAACAGAGAGAGAGAGAGAGAGAAAGAAAGAGAGAGATGCGAAAACAAACAGTACTTTCAGTAAATGTGCTGTAAATATACATTATATTGAAATCCCAATATTATAATATAATATTATACAGTATAACATATATATAAATTTATATTATTAAAAGTATCTTTTATGACTTGTATGAATGTATACCAGTTCTCTAACTATCAGAATTAAAACCCATAAATTGTTTGAATACTACATATATTAAGCGTATATATATAACATATAAACTTATATATAGTATATTTATATTACTAGTATATACCATATATTATATATATTGGTGTTGAAGGCAAAAGTTCAGTCAAAAATTGTGTATTAAAAGAGAGAGAAAAAAATAAAATAAAAATCGATACAAACTTTTGCTGTCAAAGTAAGCAAAAAATAAAATAAAATAGATTTCGTAGCAAACATTGTAAAGTACATTATATACAGTTTGATATTTTTAGTGTTGGAAAAAAAGAGAAATTTATTAAATAATAAATAAATTTCTATCTATGGTATCCCCATTGTTAATTTTGTTATCTCGATATTTGCTATCATATAACAATACAGTACCGTAAATATTATTATTAATATTTTAATTATTAATTAAAGTAAAAATTAATTAATTAAACTACAGTATGATATATATATTATAATATAATGATGAATACAATTTTACAAAACTAAATTATAATTATTTTATATATAGTTATCCCATTTGTTTAGTACTATACTATACTGTATAGAATAATATTGTATGTATTATTGTATTATATCTTATTAATATAGTATTACAATAACTATGGATATGGGGATCCCATAGTATAACAATGAAGTTAACTTTCTATAGAAATTTATTCATAAGCAATTTTCTAGAAACTTTCTCAGGGAAATTTATTAGAAACTTTCTATTTGCCCATCTCTAGATATTTTATATTTAAAATATTTTATTATTATTATTTTTTATGTATGATCGTAAAATCGTGATAAATATTTTGGTTATTTTTTTATGAAAATGCACATGACACTTTATTGCTATAAATCCATATAATTTTTGACATTTTTGGGTTATCTAATTATAAATATGTATTGTATATATGTATTATATATTTCTATTTATTACATTTAGAAAAAAAAATATAAAATTTCTTTAACAAATTTTTTTGACAACTATTTTATAGAAATTCAATGCAAATCTTGTTAAATAAAATGTTATAAATTTTTTATAATTTATATATAACTTGAACCGTTTGTATCATATTATACATCATTTATAGTATAGTACAAGTACTTGATGTCTAATGTTTCTAAGCGCTCACCTCCCGGTGCTGTTCAACAAATTTTATACTACTTAATAGCAAATTAAATGCAAATCTAATTTCTATACATAATAATGGTTTGATAGGAAATACACAAAACTCAAATTGCATTGTTTTTAATTTAATTTATTATATTCTGTATCCAAAAAATTTGTGTACAAATTAAGTGATTTTTGTTAGTAATATAGAAACTGTTACTATATTTGGATACAATAAACAGTTAGATAAAAATATATTTAATTTTTGGGAAAAAATTATTTGTACGTAAAATATTTTCTCATTAACTATTATATTTTGATATTTATTGGTACATGGCATTATTATTTATTAAAAATTAATAATAATTAAATTTACTTAATATATTTTAATTATAATTGTGTTTTTATATAAATTTTTAGTCAAGTAATTTACAGCACTTGAAAAACATTTTTATGTAAAATATAAATTATATATGTAATACTATAGATTTAATCTAGTGTTAGTTAAATTATTTTAAATTAACTAATAATTGCTAATTATTATTATTAATTATATTGTATTGTTATTGTAGACGACTTTTTGATGAACAAGACAACGATTCATACGACAAGTTTGGTAATCGTGGCGATGCCCCCGACCTTATTAGGTATTAAAACAATTGGTTTTTATTGTTTATTTACATAAAATATTATGTATATTTAATTGTAATATATATACAGTATATATATATATCAGTATATATTTATATACGATTTTATTTAGTTATATAAAACTGAAATATAGGTAAAATATTATAATAATTATTATTATTATTAAACTAAATTATGTTGTCAACAATAAATATAAATATAAAAAAGTTTAATATCTATATAAAAATATTTTATATCTATATTTATCATTTATTTGGTATTTATTGAATGTTGTCTACACATTGTACTCTAATAAGAAACGGTATGTAAGGAATGTATGTCTATATAATATAAAGTATATAACTTATTACATACTTTTCTAATCTACTGTTGCCGGAGTAGACCTCACATATCTAACTTTATATATATATATATATCTATTTAATCAATTATTTATAGTCTTGTTTAACGCTATAACTTTAATGTATCTTTTATATACTTATAAGTAGTAGACAGTATATAAATTTATTATTAATAATTTTTTTTGGTAATATACAGTATATAATAAATACTGTTGTATTCAGCACTGCAATCAATGTACCGTAATTTTATTTAATATGAAAGTTAATTTAAAATTAATATATTCTAGTTTAACAGATAAATGTATTCAATAATAAATAATAAAAATACATATATTTTAGATATAAACCTAATAAATATATAATACTAGTATATAGTGTATAATGTAATATATATTAAGTTTTGATTTAAATTATAAAAAATATAATTTAATATTAAATAGTATTTGTAAAATATAAAATTTAATAATTATATCAAAATAATTTTTAATAATTCTAATTCTAATATTATAAAAAATAAAAATATAATTTAAGCAATACGATTGTTAATATTTATTATCATTTTATTAATTATACTTTTCAATAGTAAATTTAAATGATTATTATTATTATTTATTATTATGTATTTTAACTAAATCTTTGTTACAATTTATGTGTTAAATATATAGAATATATTCAGTATATTCAATATAATGGAATTATATGTTTAAATCCTTGTCCACAAAGACAGTGGGATTAAGTCGAGGTTTTGTATGTTAGCATACAGTTATCGGGTGTAGGTATGTGTTTGTGTGTGTGTTTTTATGTGTTTGTGTGAGTGTTTTTATGTGTGTGTGTGTGTGTGTATGTATGTATGTATGTGTGTGTGTGTGTGTGTATGTATGTATGTATGTGTGTGTGTTTTTATGTGTATGTTTGTGTGTATTGTGATATTGTGTTTATAAATCAGTTTTTATTTTAGTTATTCTAGTATTATTATTATTATATAACATTATTTTTTAGAACAATATATTATTTGACATATTGTTAAGTCAATCGTAAAATGTATTTAAAATAAATATTTATAAATATGAGAAAATTTTCTTTAAAAAGAGATAAACTTCTTATTTATGAAAAAATTAAGCTATTGTTTATAATAATTTTTCTTTATAATAATATTTATTTATAATAAATATATAATTTTTAAATGCAAATAAAAATACATATGTTAAAATAATAAAATTGTTTTTATTTATAATACAAATTACATTAAATTGAAATATTAAAATAATTTTCCTATTATATAAACTTTTGTATATAATAGTAAATATTATTATATTTATGATATATATATTAAATAACAAATATGCTATTAAAATTAATATATAATAATTATACATTTTAAAAAATACAGTAAAATTTAGCAATTTATAAATCTAATCATTCAAAAAATTTACAATAAAGTGCTCTTTAAGGGGTACATTTTATTTTATATTGTATCATATAAACAATTTGTAAAATAAATATATTATTATAAATAAAAATAAAATGTTATAAAAATTATAATATGGTTATGATTTAATTTAATATTTTGTTTGTGTAATATTATAATTAATATTTTATTTATTATTTGTTATTAGACATTTTAGTTTAGTTTATTTTAATCTTACATATATCCAATAATAACTATTAAAATAATTTACTATCAAATTTATATATATATATATATATATACTAACTTATATTAAAGAATTAATATAATAAAATATTTTTATGCTAATAACTTTAATGTTATTTAAAATAAATAAATATAGAATATAAGTATTCATTTGCTTATTAAACAAAAATTATAAATTTTACGTTTATTTAATTTTATAAAATAAAACTTAACTTATTAATATTGTATAATTTTATATAAGTTTTTTTTAGTAAAACTTTTTAGACTTTATTTATAATTTTAGGTACTATTTTATTTAAAGTATTTATTATTTATGCTTTTAGTAGCATTTAACATTATTAATTCTATTAAAATCTAATAAAAATACAATAAATTAAATATTTAGAAATTCTAACTACTTTTAATTATAATACTTTTAAAGTTCAAAGTAAATTATAAAACATTTTATAAATAATTAAATTGTCATAATTTATTGGTAATGTTAGTTTATGTAGTTTTTTTAAAAAACATTTTTTATTTTCAATAGTTTATAAACTATTTGATGTTTTTGCAAATATACAGTTAAACAACAATTATTTATACAATTTATGGTTATAACTGTTAATGTGATTAAATTTATATTTATAATTTGACAGCAAATTGGGCGACAATGAGAAACAATATGCAACTCAGGACGCGCTGACCAACGACTACTATAACGACCATAAAATGTTTAAAGGAAGGGGAGAGCGATGGGAAAAGCTAATGGAGCCCAACTGTCCCTGTTTTCCAAACATGACTAAGCGCTACACAATTGCCTTTTTGAGTTCATTGGGATTTATGATTAGTTTTGGTATACGCTGTAATATGGGGGTCGCCATCGTCCAAATGATTAGCAATACGACCGGACAGGTTTGTCAATCATATCATATGTCATAAATTATTAAAACATTTATTATATAATTTACTTTTAATATATATATAATAAATTAAATGCATTATTTCTAATATTAGTAATGTAAAATATAATTTTTGTTGTTTATTATACAATATATTACATTAATAATACTTTATTAATGTAAAAGCTAATAGTAATATAAATTATATCATTTAAAATATTAAATAATAATAAATATCATTATGCTATTAGATTTTTGGTATACAGTCCAGACTATATACCTTAAACTAATATTTTACAATATTATACAACTATATAAATAATGACTACTGTATGTGTTTTAGTTATTTTTAATAAAATAAAAATAGTATAAAAATTATGAAATTAAACTAATAGTTACGATTACTAATAAAAAGTAGAAAACAATATTATTTTATACTATACTATAATATTATATTTGTTTATAAAATTATAAAAATAAATTTTAATGACATTTTTCTAAAATATAAGAAACTAATAATATATGTATTATAAATACATTTTAATTTGATAAACTATAATTGATGATCTTGTTTATATTGCAGTCTTAAAAATTTAAAGTTTTTATATATATATATATATATATATATATTACTATATTATATTAAATACTAATTTAAATAATATTAAAAAATGATGTTAAAAAAAATACTTAAAATTGTTTATATATTTAATAAAATGCATTTAAGTAGTTCATAAAATTGACATAATATTTGCTGAAAACGCTTTTAGCGATGAAATATAAGTAATGGTAAAAACATCGGCTAATGGAAAATACATGTCTCTTATTATATATATATAAATATATATACACTTTATATATTGTATATAAAGCTTATTTATCAAGTGATGGTTTACCTTAGAGAATCGGGGTAATGTAATTTCAATGCATTACGTAATTTTATTAACTTAATATTAGAAATTTTAACAATTACGGCTCTTTATATTTGTATATTTGCAACATTAATAATAATTTGTATCATCAAAAAAAAGATTGTAATTATGATAATATATATATATATATAATTATTAGACTATAAACAACAGTTTGATTGTCACTAGATATATAAGCTTAAGATAGCTAAAAATAAAAGTACATTTATTTTCTATATGTGTTTGTATAGTACACTATAAGTATATACATAGAGTACAGTTGAGTCTGTACTTTCAATGTGTATGTATAGCTCCTATGTTTTTAGTCAACATTATATATACTTTACTATAATAGAAAAGCCTTAAAAGCCCAGTGTTTCTAACTTTTATTGATGACATCCTAAATGAGAAGAGACGGCTACACACATACACTATGCATATATACAGAGACACTGACACACATACATAACAAAACCCAATGAAACAGACATTTTTAACAGTTATCACTAACTCATGAAATGAAAGCGAGTGAGTGAGTGAGTGAGTGAGAGAGAGAGAGAGAGAGTGAGAGAGAGAGAGAGAGAGAGAGAGAGAGAGAGAGAGACTTATCTATCGAGGGAATGGTAGATTTAAACACACATACATACACACAAGTCATCTATGGCCACAGTTATATAAATCTGTGATATTACTGTGTATTTGTGTGTTTGTGTACTACACTGTGTACTATATATTGTATTTACTATAAGTTAATATTATTAAAGTATTACATATTTTTTCACTAATGTTTTCAGTATTAGGTTTTAACTTAGTATATAAAAATATAATCAAAGATTAGTTTTGATCTAAACATTAATAACAATAGCATTAAAACAACGAAAATGATTGTGTAATTTCTCAGTAATTTTTAGTATCTGTTTTTCATCATAATTTTTACATGAGTTTACATTATACAGTATATTGTTTTTGAAATGTTTTGTTTTATATAACAAAAATTAATAAAAATATATTAAATAAATTTTGTCTATTATATATATAAATAAAAAGATTATTATTTTATTTTTACGTTAAACTTTAATACAAAAATTTGTAAATAGGTTTTAAAACAATTTTGATTTAAACCAAACAACTAAAATAATATTGATATTTATATATTATAATTGAATTAAAAAACTGCTATGAAATTTCTGCTTTGAAATAATGTATTAAAAATTTTATTATCAATTTTAATTTTTAGAAATTATTAATAAAAATATTAAAAATAAGTTATTACGCAATAATTATTATATTTTTTAAGAAAAACTTTTTATAGTTTGTGTAAACATTTGCGAGAATATTATTAAAAAAAATTATGAAATAAAAATCATAATTTTTAGTATTATTATTATTTTATATAATATTGTCAAATATTGAATGCAGTATTATTGGTTGCTATTTTTCGTGTAAAAAATCAATTAAATTAGATAACAAATTACTAATTTTTTTTCTATTATTATTATTTTTATTATTAGAGGATATTTAATATATTGAGTGTTGAAATGTACATAAAAGTGTTGCGACAAAAGTAAACACAAAAATATCATTATATTGTGTAAACAAAATGAAAAGCTTAACAATAATGTGTGTTCACAGCATTGACACACAAAAAAGGGTCACATATTTGTTGTTGAATGTTTGGCTTAATTTTATATATAGATTATACTATATATATGTATATATATAGTATTAGATCTTAGATACAAAATTCACTATATATTAATATATATAACATTATTATTATTATATATACTGTAATATAAATAGAAAACATATATCTTTTTTAATATCGCTTTTGAACACAAAATTGGATGCATTTTGTTGTTGTTGTTGTCGTTGTTATTATTGTAGTCATTGTTAAAAAAATCGATTAAATAATATATTGTATAAGAAATAAAATAAAATGAATTGATTGCCAATCTCTCTCTCTCTCATTGAATCATTCAATAAAAAAGTCTTTTCTCTTGATTTATATAATATATTTGGATATACTGTAGACTATATATACAATATATTATATAATATACAGTATATTGCTTTTATTGAGAATCTTTGGGTAAACTACTTTAACACAAAATTCAATTGGATGGGCACTGACTGTAAACGGCTCAACATAACTGTATGTATATATTGTACAGTACTGTATATATATGAGTCCTCTTTTTCTAATGTATAGTATATATGCCTATCCATAGTCTCTCTCTCTCTCTCTCTCTCTCTCTCTCTCTCTCTCTCTCTCTCTCTCTTCCAATCTATTGCTTAACTGTATATTTGAGTGTCGATTGCATTCAATATTGAATTTTCCATTTATTCTAATGAAATCACTGTTCGTGAGCTTTAAGAGCAGTCAGTTTTATTTGTATGTCAGCACTGGTAGAAAAACTGTAATGAAAAGGGAGAGAGAGAGAGAGAGAGCACATGGATATAGCCTAGGGATGAGGGAATTGAAGAACAAGTGAATGAATGAATGACTGAAAGAGAGAGAGAGAGAGAGAGAGAGAAATCAGAGAAATACTTATCTTTCAACAGTTTTAAGATGTATTATCTATGAACGGGTGCGCATCCTTGAGCTAAAGTACTGGTATATTAATGTATTCAAGTGTTGCGCACATATATACATATATATCATCTGTATATTTTTGTTAGATATAAATTGTATCTTACAATATAAAATTTTCTATAATTAAATATTTAATTTGATTTATAATTTTTTGTTTTAAATATATATTTTAATTGTTAAAAGTTTTTTTAATTAAAAATGTAATGAATAACAATTATTAATTATTTTTATCAATAAATGTTTTTTTTGCACAAATAGATTATAAGTTAATTGTAACCCAATACAATTTGTTAAAATATCAATAAACAAAATTAAGATTTAATGCAAAAATAACTAAACAAAAATAATTTTTAAATATTTAAACTTATTGTTATATTAAATAACTCATAACTCTTATTTTTAACTGGTTTATACAACAACAAAAATTAATAATGTATCTTTATAATAATCTTATCATTATAAATAAAATTTATAATTTAATATAACATATAATATTTAAAAAACAATAATTTTTGTATACAATATAAATAAATCATTTTTACTTTTTGATTTAATTTTGATTAATATTATATGATTGATACTAATAAACACGTATTATATACTGTGTATATAACAATATATTTTTTTATATATATCTATTTATAGGGACCAGAGTTTGATTGGACACCTGAGACCATAGGTGTCGTCGATTCATCATTTTTTTGGGGATATTTAGTGACGCAAATTCCCGGCGGTTTTCTTGCCGCTCGATATCCGGCCACAAGGTTTAGTTTATTATTAATTTTATAATAGATTAACAAATAAAAAATATGATTATATTTTTATAATTTTGTTTATATATTGTATTAATCAATTAAATTAATTAATTTTGCAGAGTTTTTGGTACAGCAATAGCCACATCGGCATTTTTAAACATGTTATTGCCCGGTGCCGCAAAATTGCATCCAGGTTATGTCATGTTTGTACGCATACTACAAGGTCTAGTTGAGGTTTGTATTCAATATTTTATTTTTGTTAGGCTAAAGTTTATTTTATTTTTTAATTTATATACAAAAAATATATATATATATGATATTTTTATATTTAAAATAAAACGATATATTTTAAAAATCATTAATGCCTAGACGTTATTTTATTAAATTAATTAATGTTATTTATTGATATTTTTTGTAAAGTTTACTTCAGTGTTAATTTATTGGTTATTTTCAATAAATTTAGTTTTAAAATATGGGGTTTAAAAGTTATTATTTCTTTTTTAAATTAAAATATTTTTTTTTATAATTTGTATTATATTATTGACAACAAAACATTTTATTATTTCTAACTTATAGTAAAAGAAAAACTACTAATATATAACTAATAATAATTTATATAATTTAATTTACTAATTTTTAAAAAATTTAATAAAATCTAACATAAGTTATCCATCAGTGAATAATTAAAAATAATTCAATTTGACAACAAAACTATATATGAATTAGTAATTTATTTTTATCATAAAATTACATTTTCTAAATTACTATATATTTATTTCTATTATATATAACATTTGTAATTTCAAATATAGTAATAATAATAAGAAAATTTCTCCATTCATAATGTAATAAAAATTTCTATGTTTTTGTTTGTTATTATTATTATTATTATGTTTTTCATTTCAATACAACCATCCCTTTCCCTAAATAATTTTTTCAATGTCTTTTTATTTATATATTATATTGTGATCATCCATTTCAATGATACGGTCTAACAATCTATTTGTATRTATATATATATATATATATTTGTCTACATTTAAACACAGGGCGTCACATATCCTGCGTGTCACGGAATATGGCGTCATTGGGCGCCACCATTAGAGAGAAGTCGGTTGGCGACACTGGCGTTTTGTGGTATGTATTAGTCAATATAGTATTGTATGAGTTTTATAGTAGTATGGGGTTTGGGATATATAGTCTGACTCTTATAAATTATAAGTTATAATATTATTAAATATATTAAATTTAAAAAACAAAAAAGTTATCCATAATAATAACGAGAGAGAGAGAAAAAAAATATTGCTTTTATATATGTGTGTATTTTTCTCTCACTTTGTAATTGAAAAAAACATTTTAGTTTTCATTGATACACAATACTTGACACAAAATTATTACTAAATAAATAATATAATACCATAGTTTTTAAGTCAAATATTATAGTTTAAGTAATACACCCACACATATATAGTATAAAACATTTTTATAAACACACTATTATATTAATACAATGCGTTGTTAAATGAATTATAATGTAATTTGTGTTTTATAACAATTCAATTTAATTCAATTGTAGAAATAGTTTTCTAATTTTTGCAGAAAAAAATTCTATCAATAATATATGATAATTAACATGTATAATTTTAATTTTATTATAACAATAAAATTTTTATTTGTTTTTCCATTTATTTGATTAGAAATAACTGCTTATATAAATTTTAATTTGTACTAGTTTGTCCCGAGCAACATGTATAGCCGTGCAATTCTTTTACTAATTTAAAAATATTTACTATAAGTAATTTGAATGAGACTTAATTTGTTTATACAACTACTACATAACCTAATGTAACAAAACTACTGAACCAATACACATTAATTCGACTAAACTTTTGAGAAATTTTAGTTTTTATATATATTTAAATAATTTTAATAAAAATTGAAAATTTAATTTTTGCGAAAAAAAATTTGCATTTGAAAAAAATTTACTGAAATTTAACACATGTAGCTAACATGTGCCATAAACTCACACAATATAGCAAAGTGTAATTACACGACACACCAGCCTACCTGTCCCTAAAACCTACCTGAGCTCAATAATCATTTAAAATTTCCCATAGAAATAACATTACTTTAAATTAAAATTGAAAATTTTAACACAAATTGAAAATTTTTGCATTTGAGAAAATTTTGCAAAAATTTAGCACAGGTAGCTTACCTCCCGGTGCCCTGTAACTCATATAATATAGCAAAGTGTAATTACACGACACCAGCCTACCTGTCCCTAAAACCTACCTGAGCTCAATAATCATTTAAAATTTCCCATAGAAATAACATTGCTTTAAATTAAAATTGAAAATTTTAACACAAATTGAAAATTTTTGCATTTGAGAAAATTTTGCAAAAATTTAGCACAGGTAGCTTACCTCCCGGTGCCCTGTAACTCATATAATATAGCAAAGTGTAATTACACGACACCAGCCTACCTGTCCCTAAAACCTACCTGAGCTCAATAATCATTTAAAATTTCCCATAGAAATAACATTGCTTTAAATTAAAATTGAAAATTTTAACACAAATTGAAAATTTTTGCATTTGAGAAAATTTTGCAAAAATTTAGCACAGGTAGCTTACCTCCCGGTGCCCTGTAACTCATATAATATAGCAAAGTGTAATTACACGACACCAGCCTACCTGTCCCTAAAACCTACCTGAGCTCAATAATCATTTAAAATTTCCCATAGAAATAATATTGCTTTAAATTAAAATTGAAAATATAACAATATATTTTTAGCTTTGAATTAAAAAATGGTTGTTGAGGAAGTGTGCACACATACAAACAAACAAACAAACAAACAAACAAACAAACAAACAAACAAACAAACAAACAAACAAACAAACAAACAAACAAACAGACAAAACAAATGTCTTAAAGTTATTAGGATTATGTTTTTTTTTAAATTCAATTGAAAATGTGAAATCAATTTTTTTAAAAGTTTACTATAGTTTTGTTACTCCATTTATATATTCAAATACATTTAATTTAAATATAAAATATATTGATATAATATTTAGATTATATACTAAATATACATTTATACATATATTAATAGATTTATTTTATTTCCATTTTATATTAATAGCAATATCACTACAATAATACATAAAATATCTTTTTACTTTATTTTTCAATAATAAAGTTATTTTATATTTTAATGCTCTCTCTCTCTCTCTCAATGTATATAAATATATAACAACAAACATAAAAAAATTCTCTACTATTATTGTAGTTTTGTTATGTTTCTTATGTTTATTTCCGACATTACAACAGATTTATTGTATATTTGGGTCAATCGATAGAAACCATAAACTGTCACTCATATCACTATATGCTGACATTAGCCCGACTCTGTTCAATAAGAGAAAGAGAGAGAGAGAGAGAGAGAGAGAGAGAGAGAAAGGGAGCTTATATGCACCCGTACTATATATATATACTGTATATATATTGTATTCAATGACTAAATAGATAACAGTATTATAGCGTACTTTTTTGGAATAAAAGATAATAAAATACAGTACAAGACATTGATTTTAATAAGACTAATGTATGAGAAACTCGCGATATTCTCATATACTAACAGAATATTCCTTAAATTATATTATAAATTATATTAATATTAATAATATTCTGTAGATATTTTGCACACAAACACAGACACACTATACAGTGAGTTCACCTAATTTGTTATACACAATGTTATAAGTTATTCATCAATAAAAATCATATTTGCAATCAATCGTGCTTGATAAATTTAATAATTTTGTCAGTTATATCTATGATATAAATTTAATTTATTATTTATTACATTATATTTATACTTACAATATTTAGTAGATTAGAAATTTAGAAAATTATTATCACTAAATAAAATCTTATATTATAGTATATTATATTGTTATAGTTTAAAAATTATATATAATATGATATATGAAGTATTGTTCATAAAATTTTAAAAATTTAGTCAATTAATTATGATATCAATATTACTGTATATACGTTATATAAAAACAGAATAAAATATATTAATAATTAAATAATTTTAGATTAAAATGATATCAATATTTAAGTAAAACTCAATATTTATATATTTATAAATTAAAAAATTTATAACCATAAATTGACCCTAAGATATACTGAATATATATCTAATTATTGCAAAATTCAATTATATTTTCCATTAATAGAAATCATAGATCTGCTTATAAATAGTTAAACCGCTTTTTCGGGTCGGAAAATCTCTATACTATACTCTATACCAATACTATCATTACTATTACTGTTAGACTATAAATATACAGCAATTTAGACATTACTTGGGAATTAAAGGGGTCTTAAGTCCAATAATCAATTATTTGCATTATGTCTATTGTACTGCAATTGTATGTATGTATGTATGTTTCGTCTATGCTTCTGTATGTACAGTATATATATATAATATATATCTGTTTGTGTATGTATGTGTGTGTGTGTGTGTGTGTGTGTGTGTGTGTGTGTGTGTGTGTGTGTGTGTGTGTGTGTTTGACTACTGGTTTGAATGAGATAGCGGATAGTTAGTTAGTTTACTATGCTACCGGTACTCGAAATTAAATTAATGAATTTCTCTCTCTCTCTCTCTCTCTCTCTCTCTCTAACAGTTTAAATGAAATGATAAAGAGTTTGCCAAATAATGTGTTGTGTTTAATAGTGAATAGTAAACTAAGTAGTGTAGTAGTAGTAGTAGTCATAGTGGTAATAGTAAATAGTAATGACTATAAATAGCCATATATACAGTATTTGTAAGTTTAACATACATATACACAGTTGGGTTATACACCAGGAGAGCCACATCACATAGTCATTACACAATTAATTACCACTAAATTAATGTTGATATTTATATATAGTGTAGCAAAAGATATAAAGGAAAGAAAAAAATAAAATAAAACAAATATTCTTGGCATCAATAGTTGCCCAGTAATTGAGTTTTATTTAATGATTATTACTATAAATACATGCAAACATACCTAAATAAAAAAAACACCCACATATATACACACTAACCAAGTAAGCTAACTGTCCAATTTGTCTGTTTACCCCATCCATCCACCAATATGTAGGCTCGTATGCCGGCGCCGTAGTTGGTCTGCCAATGTCTGGCTTATTAACCGAATGGCTCGGTTGGGAAACATGTTTCTATTTTTACGGTATATTAGTTACTAATTTTTAGGAAATTTTGTTATGTTTAGTTGTTTTATATATATATTGTATATCGTATATACATAAATATTTAGGATTTCTGGGTCTGAGTTGGTATGCCCTATGGATGTGGTTATCGTTTGAAAAGCCGTCAAAACATCCGACAATCACCAGAGAGGAACTGGTGTTTATAGAGAACAGCATCGGTATTGTCAATCTGAAGCCCCCAACCGTATGAAACAAATTAATTTGTCTTTTTAATTATTAGACATTAAGACAGAGAGTAATTAATTAATCAATTTTATTACTATTATTATTATTGTTGTTTGGTATCAATTAGTTACAAACGACACCATGGGTTGAGATATTCAAGTCTATGCCGGTTTGGGCCATAATAGCCGCCAATTTTTGCCGGAGTTGGACTTTCTACCTGTTGCTCATATCGCAGCCCATGTACTTCAAAGAGGTCTTCAATTTTGATGTCGAAAAGGTACAGTTATATTGTGTATATATATGATATACAGTATATATATATATATATATTAGTCAATTTAAACATTAATATCACTTTAATAATATATTGTAAGGCATCAAAAAAAATTACACATTAAATTTTTCTCCAAAAAAATTATATGCATTTTATTTGTTGTCTTTAGCTTGATAAAAGATTTTTTTGTATAATTTTTAAATTGTATAAAATTTTAAATATTAAGCATTAGGTTAAATATTTAAAAGTCATTATAAATCCAAATACATTCAGTTAAACTATTCATTAATACTGTGTTTTTTAATATTAATATAATGCTAAAATGCGTATTTGTGTGTGGGTGTGCGTGTGGGTGAATAGGTGGGTGGGTTAGTAGGCTGTACTAAATTGAAATAGATTTCCTGTAAATTTTCCATATAACATATAAATTTTTAAAAAACTATGTAGGTATTTTGTCTAAAAATAATAGTATAGTAATGTATAATATAACTGTGTTTATAAAACTTTAATTTTATTAAAAACTATTTATTTTATACAATAATCTCAACGTTAATAAATAAATTAGAAACTATACTTAGAAATAGGGTTGGCCTATATTTTTATCCTGTTATAATTGTAAATAAAAATATATAAATAATGACATTATATTTAATTATTATTAAAATTATTATATTATTTTTACTTTTGTTAAACTTATCTTTTTTTTCATTTAGTCGGGAATGTTAGGAGCGTTGCCTCACTTATGTATGACATTTGTAGTGCCATTTGGCGGTCATTTGGCCGATCACTTGAGGACTTCCGGCGCTCTGAGCACAACAAACGTAAGGAAAGTGTTCAACTGTGGCGGCTTCGGTATGGAAGCACTGTTTCTCATATTAGTTGGCAGCACATCGAGCACACACCTGGCCATCATTGCACTCACACTTGCCGTCGGGTTTAGTGGTTTTGCTATTTCAGGTATTTTTTTTATATATATACAATCAATGTTTTTCAAGTAATAATAATTGAATTTATAATTGAATTTTATAAATATTTTTTTTATTAAAAAATATTTATAAATATATTTATAAATTATTATTCACATTTTTTGCTATTTGTTTTTTTTCATATCTAGCATAAACATAATGATTGAAATCATCGTTAATGAAATATATATATATATATATTTGACAAAATTTAATGATTGCTCTCAATGTTTATTTTAACTGAATGTTTGTGTGGCAATCATAATAATAAATAGTGTATAACTGATTCGGCTTATAATTTAATTTATGTCTAATACATAATTAAATTTATATAAAAGCCTAGAGTCAATAAAGCAATGAGTTTTATATTTATTATTAAACCATTGTATTATTTTTTAAAAATCTCGATATAATTATAATGTTATATAAGCTTATATCTTGAGATTTATTAGTTATATAATCATTTAAATGTTTATAAATAAAATTGTCTCCAAAATTAGATTTTATTTTTGTTTTTTTTGTTTGCATTAGGTTTTAATGTCAATCATCTAGATATAGCACCCAGGTATGCTAGTATATTGATGGGCATATCTAACGGTTTCGGTACATTAGCCGGCATGTTATGCCCTATTGTAGTCAACCTTATGACAAAGGAAAAGGTATTTTTTTGGGTTTAAATTGAAAGATAATAATATTAATAATTTAAATTTATATACAAATAAAAATATGTAGACACCGACCGAATGGCAGGACGTATTCATAATAGCGGGAGTCATACACATATGTGGTGTCATATTTTACGGTATATTTGCTTCGGGAGAACTGCAAAATTGGTCGGAACCGGTTTCCAAAGACCAGCCCGAGTCGCTGCAAATGCAATACCAGCAGCCGATACAAACACAACTGCCCCCCAGTAGTGGTGGTGATCCAACAACGTGGCCTCAATCGGACGGTACGGCCATAGGCTATCAAACGCAAGCGGCAACCAACACCACTACAAACCCATTCCAACAGGCCGTACAGCCCCAATACGGCGATCAATCATACGACCCGTGGGCCCAAAACGGAACGGTAGGTACGGGTTTGGCCAACAGTTATCAGCCGTCCTATGGAGCAACCGATTCGCAGCAATCGTCAGCGTTTTACGAGACGAGAGCACAGTATATACAACAGCCGGCAACTGACCGCTATCTACACGGAACGGTAGATGACAGGGATTATTGACTTTTATATCGTTAATCAATATATATTCAAAAAAAAAACATAATTATATTTATTTACTATAACTTATTTATAGTTATTATTATTTATTATATAAAAAACATTATATGTGTTTCTAGTCATTTAAAAATAATTGAAACAATTTAATTGTTTTGTTATATTTATTATATTATATAAGTTTAATTATAAATTTATTGTTATTTTATGAATATTTTTTAAGTTAATTATTGCTTAGTATTAATACTAATAATATTTAGTATATTTTATAATCTGTTAAAATTTTGTTAAAGTTTTATTATTTGTTATTTGAATGATCATTGCCTTTATGATTGATTAGATGTTTGAAATTATTATTAATAATAAGTCAATAAAAATCTTACATATTATTATTACATGAAATTTTTTAAAAAATATAATTGTTTTACGATGTGCTTATTTTTATATATATATTTAAATTAACATGTAATATATATATAATTATATTAAATATGATACTATTAATAATAATTGTTTTTATTTTATAAGGTTTTTATTGCAAAAAATCAATATAATTTTTAGAAAATAATTTTAGATATTTAGTAGAAAACAAATTTTATAATTTTAGATTATTTTTACTGCCTGCATAATATTGTATTTATTTATATTTATAAATTAAGTTTTTTAAAATTAGCACAATCATTTTTGCCAATAAAACTAATTTTTTCACTACTAATAATTATAGACGACAATCTAGTAATAGTATACCTAAATATTATTAATAGTAAAATCTAATAAATTAAAAGCAAATAATTTTTTATAATTGTTATTAAAAATAAAACAATTTGCAGGTAGTATTTTATTTTATTTTAGTATATAATTTATATATATACTAGTATATACACTATATATTATATATTAAACTTGTATAATTAATAACCAGATAATCTATGAACAATGGCACAAATAGATATATATATATAGATATTTATTTACTCAATAAATATTAAATATATATATATTTATGCCTTAAACAGTAATTGCGAGACAAATCATTAAGTTTACAAACAAAATGAAAAAATTAATCATTGATAATATTTTGTTTGTAAACAAAAAACAATCAATTTAAATTAATATTTACTAAATGTGCATTTAATTATATAGTTAGGTTTAGTTATAAATATAGCTAATTTTAAACTTAATGCACAAATTTATTATTATTATTATTAAATCTTTAATTTAATTTAAATCTATTCATATCATTAATATAATAGTTTAAATTTAAATAAAACATTATTATTTTATTAATCTTATATTCAAAATTCTTATTATTAGTTTACTATATTATATTTATGGCCAAATGTTTAATCAAAATTTTTTTTATATATCATTATATATAAGATTTGTTTTATAATTTATTAGTATTTATTTATATATTATTAGTGTGTAATGATACAGTATAATATATTAGTAAAAATATTTTCTGTGTTAAACTTCAATGTTATTAAAATATAATTTAATAAATATATATTAAAGTGATTCTGTGATAGTCATTTTGAAAATTATAATCAATTTAAATATTATATAATAAAATTTTTGATTTATCATTATTATTTAGTCATATACAGTATAAATACATAATAGATTAATTACTAAAATAAATTATGATTTTATTAAACATAAAAATTTTCTTAAAGCAGAATAATTTTAATAATCTATAATTATGTTAATAATGTTAATCAAACACAAAATAACCTAACATACAATATTTATTTCATTTTAATGACACAAATGCAATGAAATATTGATATTGATATATAATATAAACTATTTTAAATATTTGTTATGTGAAGGTAAGTAACATAATTATATCATTTTTAATATACATATTACTGTGAATTAAAACTGATGTCAATATTATTTAAATTTATCAGCGTTTATGTCATTAAACTAAAAAAACATTTATAAATTTATCACATATTCCATAAAAAACTAAAATTATCATAAAAATAACATTTATATATAAACATACATATAATTGATGTGTTAGCTGTTGTTGTATTATATAGAGTGTCTATAAAAATTAAAAATATTATTATTATTATTGTGAGAATTATTATAATAAATGATAAAATGTGTTAAACTATAAAAATATAAATAAAATCATTAATAAAATAGTTTTATTATTAAATTTCAATAGATTGATTTTGTAATATGTTTTAATATATATGTTGTTTACAACGAATTTGTTTTATTATATAATTAGATAAAATAAATTACAACTAATTTAATATTAAGCTTTTTAATTATCTATTAACCAATTGATTAAAATCATTAATTATTATTATGTAACAAATTTAATTATAATTAATTTTTAATTAAAGTAAACTAATTAATTGATTTAAATGATGTATTTTGTTAAATATTAATAATTTTAATATGTATATTGAAAATTCATAATAGCAATAAACATAATCTGATTTGTTTGAACTGAAAAATTAATTAATTTTATCTATATATTAGTTTTTGAATAATAATATTTTTTATAGTTTTTGTATAAAATTTTTAGAAAATGGATTGCTATAAATATATTTTTTAATTTTTATTAATTATTGTTTTGTTTCATTATCTACAACATTGCCCTTGGTCACTTTTAAATCAAACATATTGTTGACCCGATAATTGTAATCAATAGTAACACCGCTATCATCGCTGCCGCCATTGTTTAAGACACTCTGTTTTATAAATATATACAAAACTTTATTGACATTTTTTATTACAAGTTTTTAAAAGTAATTTTTTTAATTTTCAAAGTATTTAATTTGTTTTGTTTATATAATTTATTTAAACGATTAGATGCTTTTCATTGCGGTTATGTTTATATGAAGTACGGTATTAGTGGTCAATGGATTGTCAATTATGTGGTATTAAAGGAACGACAGATTACTATCGTTACAAAAGACTTGGAGGAAATCAATGGCAATCATAATTCCGTCGCCAACGACACCGCGAGTATCATATCAGACGATAGTGAAAGTCATATGAGTACCGATTCAATGGATCTCAATAGTCGTCATAGCTATCAGATCTATGATATGCGGAAAATAATTTAAATGGCGTACGCATCGGTACATCAGATGAGTTCGTGTGGATCGGCCATCGAAATGGGACAACCGATATGAGACACTTAGACACTTAGTGATCAACAAAATAGTAGACATTTATTAGATTAAGAAAAAAAATTATAATAATTATTGTTTTCATGAATTTATAAATTTTAATTTTATAATTTTTTTCTCAAATATAATTATTAAATATGCATATTTTATTATACACATTTATACATAATAAATATTTTTACGTATTATAAACTATAGCTTTTGAAAATCGTTAATATTTAAATCATAATTATTATATATTAAATAATAATATAATTTAAAGTTTTATATAAACTTATTATTCCAAACACTATTCAATTGTCTGATGTATACTCTATTGACTTTCAATACTGACGTCCCAATAGTTGATTCATAAAACAAGTTTATATTAGTATTCAGACTATCGGTTGAATAAAATGTATCAGTAATTGTAGTCAACCCGTTATCGGCAAACAATTCAACCGATGCCACATCTAATACGAGTCGCATTGTAATTACGGAACCAGTAGTCAGACGCGGGCCTTCACTTTTCAAGACAAATGATTTGCTAAACTCATGCCTACCGGTGCTATTTCTGTCCACAACAAACTTATTGCCGGATCCGTCAAAATAAACCCGCAAAACATCTTTAGATCCTTTGAATTGCAGACCAAACTTATCGGCATTTAGTCGACCAGAGCTCATGTCGACCTCGAGCTCAATATCGAGAAGTCTAGACTTAATATTTTGGTCGGCATTCAAGTTAAGCGTTTCATTTGGTTTGAGTGGTTTAACTAAAATAATTGTTGTGTTTTGAACAATATTACTAATTTCAGGCACCGGTAGTGCTGCTAATCGTAATTTATTATCGGTTGTCTTAACTAGACTCAGCTCACGCGGTACAGTCATACCACCTCTCCATGGATTAGTAGGTACAGCTACTGCATAGCCCGGATTTACTGACCATCCAATAAACACTCGGCGTCCATTGTTAGGTACAGTGTTATAGGTAACACCGGCATAATTATCTGCTCCGTAGTCAAGCCATTGGACAGTATCGGGTGAGTTATCGTTTCGGTATTGTTTGCCATCAAAAGTGCCGACAAAATACTGAGTTTTTGAATTCAAGTTTACTGTTAATATCCATTTTTCAACTATTGTGCTAAAAAAATAATTATTGACTTATTGTTAATAATTAATTATTATTATTATTAATACAACTAACCCGTTAATTGTAACATTAAGTGGATATAGATCTGGACATTCCCATACACTTTCATGTGATCCCTGTCCCGCACCAAATTCTTGTATGAATTGCCATACCTTGAGGTTATAAGACTTATATAGGTTGACGTGATTTCCGGCAGCAAATATCAGCGCATAATGATCTTTAAATTGCAAAACTTTTGGATCTCGATAGTCACGGAGTTTTGTCGGGTTGGGTATAACTGGATTACTATCGTAGTATTTCCATGTGAGTCCTTCATCGGCACTATAGGCTAACCACTGGTCTTGAATGCCGTCCGTATCATTGAAACCGGAGAAAAATGCTATCATTGTCTTGTTTACAGCACCGGGAGCTGCAAAACCGGTAACATTGTTTACATCTACAATAGCACTGCCCGACCAAATAGACTCTCGACCTCCGACCTGTGGGTATAGAGCTATCGGTAGGTTTTGCCAATGAAACAGATCTTTACTGATGGCATGTCCCCAATGCATTTTACCCCCGTCTAATTATTAAAATTTTTTCAATAATAAATATAAAAATTTTAATAATTTATTAATAATGCACATTAATTTTTAATATACAATAAAATACCTGGGCTTAAGCCGAGACAGTATTGATAAAATAGATGATATGTATCTTTATAATAGACGAGTCCATTGGGATCATTGGTCCAACCCTTGGGCACTGAATAATGTATTTGTTGTCTATAGTCCTCATCATATTCACAATTATTTAAACCGATTAATAAAACTATTATTAAAAAATTGCAAAACATTTTTACGTCAAATATCTGAGAATTTAAATTCTATATTATTATATTATTACTATTAATATAAATTATAATTACTTTATATAAGGTTTTAAAAAAATAAAATAATCATTATGTGAGTTCAAAAATTGATATTAAATTTGTCTTGATAATTTTATAATATATCTAGGTATATTTTTATTTTTACTTGCTTATTTTTACAAATTTAATAACTATTATTGTATTATTATCAAATATTAACAAATTATAAATTGAATTATTTATATAAAAGCTCAAGAACATTTTGTTTATCACAATACAACAGTATTTTAGATTTTACTTATCTTAATGAACATGTTTTTTCTAAACTATTTATCTTATAATTAAAAACAATTATCAAATATACTATTTTTTTCTATTCATTAGATTATTATACAATAGGATACTTAAATTATTTAAATGTCATTCAATATCTTATAATAGTTTAAAGATAACATAATTAATAAACATTAGGTAGTATTCCCACATATTTATTAAAATTATAACTAGTGTTGGCAAAAAAGAGAAATTTATAAAAAATAGAAAAATTTCTAGAAAGTTTCTAAAAGAAATTTCTATCTATGGGATTCCCATGTTAATTTTGTTATCTCGATATTTGTTATCTTGTAACATTGTTATTACAAGTAATAATTAAATATTATTATTAGTATTTTAATTAATAATTAAAGTAAAAATTAATTTATTTAATTATATTTAAATATGATATAATAAAATAATAAATAAAATTTTACAAAACTGATTATTATTGGATTATTATACTTATTTATATAGGTATCCCATTTGTATAATATTATATATACAATATTATATCTCATTAATATATTTATAGTATTTCCAATAACTATAGATATGGGGATCCCATAGTATAACAATAAAGTTAAATTTCTATAGAAATTTATTCATGAGAAATTTTCTAGAAACTTTCTATTTGCCCATCTCTAACCATAACTCAATTCTGTAAAATTACAAAATGTATAAAAGCTAACAGATAATCATTTTTAACCAGTTGAGAATGCTAGAAAGCATTTCCATACGAACTCCTTATCCAAAGTAAACTTTACTCATGAGGGATATCAAATGATTGAGTATGACAAAATAAACTCAACTATAGTCATGTGTGGCACCAAATGATTCAGTGTAATAAAATAAACTCAAATATAGTCATGTGTGGCACCAAATGATTCAGTGTAATAAAATAAACTCAAATATAGTCATGTGAGGTATCAAATGTTTCAGTATGACAAAATAAACTCAACTATAGTCATGTGTGGCACCAAATGATTCAGTGTAATAAAATAAACTCAACTATAGTCATGTGTGGCACCAAATGATTCAGTGTAATAAAATAAACTCAAATATAGTCATGTGAGGTATCAAATGTTTCAGTATGACAAAATAAACTCAACTATAGTCATGTGTGGCACCAAATGATTCAGTGTAATAAAATAAACTCAAATATAGTCATGTGAGGTATCAAATGTTTCAGTATGACAAAATAAACTCAACAATATGTGAAGTTTTAAATGATTCAGTATTAAAATTTATAAATACAGATTTATAAAAAATACTGAATTACTTCTATATTAATAATATAAATCTTAGAAAAACATACATTACCCTATATTTAATTTTTTTATACTTTTACAACCATTTTATTTTTTTGAAAAAATAATGCTGATTTATTATATCTTATTTTTGTATGTTCCTGAAGAGATAACAAAATTTTAATGCTGATCCCCTTTACCTTATTTTTGATACTTAATCCAAATCTAAAATCAAAATTTCAAAATTCAATCAAATACGGACGGACGGAACGACGGACGGAAGTACATATAGAATTCAAATACGTACTCATTTCAGGAGTTCGTGAAAATAAATTTTAAACTCAATTGCATCACTCAATTAACTGAAAACAATTATTTAGTACTTTATAGCAATCGCATAGATGTTGTGGCAGTTTTGCTAACTATGAACTCATTTATAGTTAAATAAAAATTAATATCATTTATATTATAGCTATGTTTTAATTATATATACATATAAATAAATAAAATATTTTATTTGTTTATTGAATAAAAATAAAATAACATTTGTAAAAAAATATTTGTTGCTTTTATTATTTATTAAAAAATATTTTTAAAAAATATTACTAAAAATATTATATTTATTAATTACATTTACATGTAATGTAGAAAAGAGGATATCTAGAAGTCTAAAAAAGACAATTTTTTGATATTTTAAGAGCTAATCCCTATATTTAAAACAATTTATTATTAAAACTTAAAATAAAATTATAACTAATTAATATAATAAAATTATTTTCAACTATAATATTTGTAAAATAATAAAATGTAACATTTTTGTTGAACTATTATTAGGGATCGTCTATACATTAGATTAACTCTATATGATATAGACTTTGTAGACATTGTATTAATAGATCCTAATTGTAAGATTGTATATGTAATGGACGGGGTTTTAAGCCGACTGTTTACAAGGAACTATAGATCAAAGCTATACTCTTAGATCTAATTCAGACAGTATGTCTGGTCTCGCAATATCGCAGTCGAATAATCACTTTCAATATAAGTCACGCGTCCTCACGATTCCGATCTCTTCTGTAGCATTACTCGTAATCACACTATCACTTGATAGGCGTTCTATATCTTCTCTATTCACAATCAATATCTAAATCACATCACATTTCGATAACATTAAACCACTTTATTTATAATAAATTAAATTTATAAAAGTATACAAAATGAATATAAATATAGATAATGATGTTTTCTATATATATGGGCTCTCCGTCTCTCTCTCTCTCTCTTAGGTCGGACCTCTTTAGGCCGCTTTCTCTGAGTCCTCACTCTCTTAGACTATCTTTTATGACTTCTCTCTTAGGACTAGTTCTAGGACTCAATTTAAATTTCAATAATCAAATGCTTATATAGACATAAATTCATAATTGCATTAATCATTAGATTAGGAAATTTACAATAAATATTAGAAATCTGATTCAATATATGAAAATATTTTAAATAATACTAATTATCATATCTTTTTCATTGAATTACTCGATATTAGACTTATATCATATGAATAGTTGATTCTCTGAATATTGATAGCAATCTGAATACTGAATAATTTCTTTGAATAGCATTTGACTCATTCATACTAAAAATAACCTATAATTTTCAAATATCCATTACATATAATATAATTATTGTTTTTTTTTTAATTTTAATAACAATTTTATTGGTAAATAAAAATACTTTTAATGATATACTTATATATTTTGTTATAACTCGGACATTACAATAATTATTTTATAAACTAATTATTATAATTTATTGTATCTAAACTTTATCTAGAATTATGTATTATTGAATATATGCACTTTTAATATAATTACAATAATTGTTATAAATAAAAATCAATATATTATATTACATAATAATAATTATGGATATATTAATTACTCAGTAATATACCCAACCATTGAGAATCACTAAATATATATTATATTTTTAATAAAACTATTGTTATATAATGTCTTCAAACTATAATCTATAAAAAATTTTCAGTACTCTGTATAACTGTTACTACTTTTTTATTTTTTAAAAATGTATTCATATTTCTACACTTTTTTAAGTAATTCATTTGTTTTTATCAATAATTGATTTGAAAATATTGATAGTTAATGAATTTTACAGAGTATTAATACTGTATTATGAATATAATTGATAAGTGTAATTGATAATTGGTATATAAATTTACTATGTTATTTTTTATATAAATAAACAATAAAAAAATTTAATATATATTGTTATTTTATAAAACATTTAAAAAAATAAAAATCGAATATATTGTGAGTCTATAATAGGTTTTTTAAAAAATTTAAAATGTTTATTAAATTGAATAGTATTGTATTATTAATTGCATTATCAATGCATTATAGTAATACTTCACCAGTAAATGACGGACCATCAGGTAATAAATAAATAAAATATTTATAAAAATATATATATTACCAATAATGTAAAATAAAACTATATATTACACTATACTGTACAATATATATATATATATACATAAATTATATATAAATGTTTAAAAATAATAATTAAACTTATTAATTTGTATTTTTGATTTATATTTGACTATATATAATATATAGTTAGTCTAATACTTAGTGCTAATGCTGTCCACCATACGGACCATTACTACAAAATTGGTGATACAATTGATTTGAAAATGGAGTACGACATACCTGAGCCATTTAGCCTGAGCCGTTCAGCCTGGTATAAGGATGATAAAACTGATGAACAATTTTTGGAATATTCATCACAAAAATCATGTATGAATTTATTTTTCTAAAAAAAATATATTTTCTAAATTAATTTTATATATAAATTAAATATATTATTGTTATAATTAATTAGACAAAGTAACTAACATACCAGGCATTAGTGATATGAAATTTGTTTCGAATGAAAACAATGTCATTTACTTTCAAATACATAACGCCACCGAACAGACAGCCGGTTCCTATCAGGTTTGGGTGTTTTATGGTGACAACGGGTGGAGACATTACTTTAGACCTACTAATACTGTTAATCTAATAGTTGACAAATAGTTTAATAATAATAATAATACAGTAATTAATTAAAAAAATATAAATCATTGCATTTTACTATGTATTGCTTACTTGTATTTATTGTGAAATAGTATCTATAGATAGAAATTTTTATATATTAATATAACTTTGTGTAATTATAAATAATTATTTTATTTTATTTTTAATTAAAAAGTGTAAAGATTGTCTATTAATTATTTTAATAAAGTAAATATAATTATCCGATTATTTGTATTTAAAATTAAAATTGTTGAACATATTTATTAATAAAAAAAATAAATATAACAATTAAACTTAAACGATTATAATTAAAAGTAATTATTGATTTACTTAAAATTTCTTGCACTAATTTTATAATTTTATATAAAGTAATAATAAATAATTAAAAGTCTATTGATTTATTTAACAATAAAGATGTTATATAATATATTTTTATATTATTATTCTAAGATATATTTTTTATTGATTACAACTATAGTCTAATATTGATTTGTGAATTAACTAATATATTATAATAAAAGTTTGAGTTTTATATTATTTTTTTATTAAATTTTATTTAACAATTTGTTGCATATTTTTACAAAAATAATATTACAATATATTACACTTAAGAACAGTTGACTTAAGGTTTTACTAAACATTATTATTATTATATTTTTAAAAATAATACTAAAATAAACATTTTATAATGAATTGTGTTTTACATATTTATAATATTTTAAATGTTATAATTATATTTATTTGTAAAATTATTATACTATTAAATAAAATTATTTATTATTTGTTAAATAAAATATTATATTTTATTAAAAAATGTTTACATAATATTTTTGTATTTAATGGTATAAACATATTCAATGATAATCTCTTTGATTTTCGGCAACTTATTGCACGTATGGAAAGACTTAGCCAACAATACGTGTTAGCAATATCTACAGATGTCGACCAATATATGACTACTGATCACAACAAATCACGTATTATTATCGGCATATTATACGATATATTGCTATTTGTAAATGCAATGAAATTAGCAATAACTGCTTTTGTAGATAAGGTTTGTTTGAATATTAAATATTAAATTAATGTTATTTTAGATAACAGTATAAAATAATAGTCAGTCTTACGCTTGTGGTCTTCAAACTAATTAAAAGACAAATGTATAGTCTATTTGAATAGTTTATGATATAAGAGACTCATATATAAGAATTTAACTTTTATAATAATAAACTATAATAAAAATTTAAAATTAAAATATTATATTGTATAATAAAAATCATTATATTAATCGGTTTTTATACTATTTGTATTGATGTAGTAATAGTACCTTAATTATTAGGGTTGGGTAACATAACTAATGCTTATTATTTATTATTAAAACAAATAATTTTTTATTATTAATTATAACTAATAATTATTTATATTATAAGAGAGATATAGTTAGTTCCATATATCATAAGCTATTTAAATATAATGAATCTTTTAACTTTCTTAAAGTCCATAAGCGAAAGTGATACCGAAATAATAATAAAAAAATAATTATTATTTTTAAATATTAAAGCAATGGATTTGTGAAATATTTTATGATCCTTTTTATACAATTGGCAACTCTATGGTAATATCACTGTTAATCAGTATATTTTCACTATCAATGTGTGCTATCGGTTGTGTTACACATTATCAAGATATGACACATAAATTATATTTTGCTGAATTTTTGTATGACTCTAAATATTATAAAGTTAAATATCAATTAAATAATAAAAGATTAAATATAATAATCTATCAATGCAATTTTATTGCAAAATATATTACTAAATCCTTTATATTATTGACAACATTGATAACTTTATTATTATTTATTTATGGTACTTTCAATTTAAAAAATGATCCCGATATTCATATCTATTATACTAGCTTAATAATTAGTTTAATACTATTTATTATATATTGTTTACAAACATTTAGCCGAATAGTGTCTGGTTGTCTGATTTGGTATTTGACAACAATGTATTCAAAATTAAAATACATTCAAATATATAATAAAATAAGCAAGCTAATTGCAAAAATAAAGAAATCTAAAAATGTTAACCATCATAAAAAACTGGAAAAATATATTGATGAACATATTATAATGACACTCTATGTAAATAAATTTGACTATTTTTTTCGTTACATAACATTTATATTATGCTATTTGGTAACACCGGCAACACTACTAGCAATATATGCTGTTATTAATCAAGAGTCGGATTTGATAATACGTATAATATTTACATTATTAGTAATATTTTGTTGTTCAGCATCAGTAATGATGAATCTGATGAGCACATGGATACACAGTGCCGCTCACAGACCCCGGCTCTTAATATTAGATTATCTTATGATTAATAATAAAAATGATACAATTATTTGGCGATTAAAATTGCAAACATTTATTAGTCACTTATCGGAACATACAATTGCTTATCATTGTTTGAATTTATTTGCTTTAAATAGTTTAGCATTTTTTGAGTTTATTTTTCTGTCGTGTTTTAATTTTATTTTGATGAGTAGTGAATTTATTTAATATAAATATTTAATTATAAAATTTTTAAAAAAAGTTTTATATAAACAATTTATAAAAAAAATATTTTAAGTATTTTTAATTATATAAATATGTATTCTATTTAATATGTAGTTTATTTAAATTTTGTTTATGATTTGTTTTGAATATTTATGTATATTATACAGTATAATTTTGTTGTGTAAAATATATGACTATTAATTAATTATAATTAATAAAATATTACAGTCTACATGTTAATTTATTATCTACATATTTTATACATATAAATATCGCTTGATAATATAGACTACAAAAAATTGAAAAATAAAAATCATATATTATGTTTATATAGCATAAGTCAATCAGAGAGAAAAAACAAGTTTTATGTATTTTAATGCATATGTTTTTCTAAATTAGAAATATAAATATATCATATAAACAACTATTATATTATTTACTTAATTAGATTATTAAAAAACTAAAATATAACAATCTTTAAAATAAATAATTATTTATAGATAATTTTAAAGCAATTTATTTAATAAACAGTTGGTATTATACCGTACTTATAATTTTTTTTAAAAAAAAAACATTTTAATAGTACAAAATCAATGTCACAATTTAAATATTTTCAATATCAAAATCACATATTTTTTAATTAATTAAAAAAATATATTTTATATTTAATTTTACAGTTTAAATAAACTTATGATTCCAAACACTATTCAATTGTCTGATGTCTACTCTATTGACTTTCAATACTGAAGTCCCAACAGTTGATTCATAAAACAAATTTATATTAGTATTCAGACTATCGGTTGAATAAAATGCATCTGTAATTGTAGTCAACCCGTGATCGGCAAACAATTCAACCGATGCCACGTCTAATACGAGTCGCATTGTAATTACGGAACCAGTGGTCAGACGCGGGCCTTCACTTTTCAAGACAAATGATTTGCTAAACTCATGCCTACCGGTGCCACTTCTGTCCACAACAAACTTATTGCCGGATCCGTCAAAATAAACCCGCAAAATATCTTTAGATCCTTTGAATTGCAGACCAAACTTATCGGCATTTAGTCGACCAGAGCTCATATCGACCTCCAGTTCAATGTCTAAAAGTTTAGACTTAACAGTTTGGTCGGCATTCAAGTTAAGCGTTTCATTGGGTTTGAGTGTTTTATTTAAAACACTGCTATTGTTTTGTACAATTTTACTAATTTCAGGCACCGGTAGCGATGCTAATCGTAATTTATTATCGGGTGTATGAACTAGACTTAGCTCTCGTGCGATAGTCATACCACCTCTCCATACACTGGTAGGTGTAGCGCCAGCGTAGCCCGGATTAAGCATCCATCCCATGAATATATGGCGTCCATTGTTAGGCTCAAGATTATATGTGACACCGGCATAATTATCGGATCCATAATCTATCCATTGGACAGTATCGGGTGGGTTGTCATTACGGAACTGTTTGCCATCAAACTCTCCGACAAAGTATTGGGTTTTTGCCGCCACATTAACAGTTAATATCCATTTCTCAACTAAATTGCTGTTAATTGTTAAAAATAAACATAAATAACAACATTTTATAAATTGTAAATAAAAATAAAAATATATTTTTACCCCTTAATGTTGACACGCATGGGATATAGGTCGGTACATTCCCATGTCGCAGCATGAGATCCCTGTCCCAAACCAAACTGTTGTATGAGTTGCCAGTCTTTCATATTTGTCGACTTATATAGCATGACATGATCTCCGGCCGCCAATACTATAACATAATAGTCATTGTATTTAAATATTTTTGGATCTCTAAAATCTCTTTGTTTAGGCGGAGCCGGTATTATCGGGTTTTTATCGTAGTATTTCCAATTCAAGCCATCATCAACACTGTAGGCCATCCATTGCGTTTGTATACCTTCTGGATCTTTATGACCCGTGAATATGGCTATCATGGCTTTAGTGTCCGACCCGCTCGGATTAAAACCGGTCACATTGTTTACGTCTATGATAGCACTGCCCGAAAATATATACTCACGACCACCTATTTGTGGGTACAGTGCTATCGGCAGGTTTTGCCAGTGAAACAAGTCTTTACTAACGGCGTGTCCCCAATGCATAGGACCTGTTTGTAATAAATGTAAGTATATTTAAAAATTTATATATATATATATACCCCAATGGGTGCCATTTGGATAAAATTGGTAAAACAAATGATAATTTTCTTTATAATAGATGAGTCCATTGGGATCGTTGTTCCAGCCCTTTGGCGGCGTAAAGTGAAACTGTGGTCTATAGTCCTCATTATAATCACATGAAATATAGCCAATTAAAAAGGCTATTGTTATATAAATTATAAACATTTTTTAAAGAAAATAATTTACTAATTAAATATTTTTAAAACTGATTATATGTTAACTTTTATATATTTTGTAATCTTACAGAATTGAGTTATAGTTTTAATATATATGTGTGAATACGACCTAATGTTTATTAATTATGTTATCTTTAAACTATTATAAGATATTGAACGACGTTTAAATAATTTAAGGATTCTATTGTATAATAATCTAATGAATAGAAAAAAATAATATATTTGATATTTTTTTAATTATAAAATAAATAGTTTAGAAAAAACATGTTCATTAAGATAAGTAAAATCTAAAATACAAAGCATTTTGATAAACTAAATGTTTTTAAGTTTTTATATAAATAATTCAATTTATGATTTGTTAATATTTCATAATAATTCAATGATAGTTATTAAATTTTAAAAATAGGCTAATATAAAAAGATATACTATAAAATAATTAAGACAGATTTAATATCGATTTTTTTTTGAATATATTGTTTTAATTGTTTATAGATTTATTAATATTGCTATTACTGACATATGGCTTAACTCACATAATGATTATTTTATTTTTAAAAACATTATATAAAGTAATTATAATTTATATTAATAGTAATAATATAATAATATAGAATTTAAATTCTCAGATATTTGACGTAAAAATGTTTAGAAATTTTTTAATAATAGTTTTATTAATCGGTTTAAATAATTGTGAATATGATGAGGACTATAGACAACAAATACATTATTCAGTGCCCAAGGGTTGGACCAATGATCCCAATGGACTCGTCTATTATAAAGATACATATCATCTATTTTATCAATACTATCCCGGCTTAAATCCAGGTATTTTATAGTCTATTAAAAATTAATGTGCATTATTAATAACTTATTTAAATTTTTATAATTATTATTGATTTATTATTTAACAATTAGACGGGGGTAAAATGCATTGGGGACATGCCATCAGTAAAGATCTGTTTCATTGGCAAAACCTACCGATAGCACTATACCCACAGGTCGGAGGTCGAGAGTCTATTTGGTCGGGCAGTGCTATTGTAGATGTAAACAATGTTACCGGTTTTGCAGCTCCCGGTGCTGTAAACAAGACAATGATAGCATTTTTCTCCGGTTTCAATGATACGGACGGCATTCAAGACCAGTGGTTAGCCTATAGTGCCGATGAAGGACTCACATGGAAATACTACGATAGTAATCCAGTTATACCCAACCCGACAAAACTCCGGGACTATCGAGATCCAAAAGTTTTGCAATTTAAAGATCATTATGCGCTGATATTTGCTGCCGGAAATCACGTCAACCTATATAAGTCTTATAACCTCAAGGTATGGCAATTCATACAAGAATTTGGTGCGGGACAGGGATCACATGAAAGTGTATGGGAATGTCCAGATCTATATCCACTTAATGTTACAATTAACGGGTTAGTTGTATTAATAATAATAATAATTAATTATTAACAATAAGTCAATAATTATTTTTTTAGCACAATAGTTGAAAAATGGATATTAACAGTAAACTTGAATTCAAAAACTCAGTATTTTGTCGGCACTTTTGATGGCAAACAATACCGAAACGATAACTCACCCGATACTGTCCAATGGCTTGACTACGGAGCAGATAATTATGCCGGTGTTACCTATAACACTGTACCTAACAATGGACGCCGAGTGTTTATTGGATGGTCAGTAAATCCGGGCTATGCAGTAGCTGTACCTACTAATCCATGGAGAGGTGGTATGACTGTACCGCGTGAGCTGAGTCTAGTTAAGACAACCGATAATAAATTACGATTAGCAGCACTACCGGTGCCTGAAATTAGTAATATTGTTCAAAACACAACAATTATTTTAGTTAAACCACTCAAACCAAATGAAACGCTTAACTTGAATGCCGACCAAAATATTAAGTCTAGACTTCTCGATATTGAGCTCGAGGTCGACATGAGCTCTGGTCGACTAAATGCCGATAAGTTTGGTCTGCAATTCAAAGGATCTAAAGATATTTTGCGGGTTTATTTTGAYGGATCCGSCAATAAGTTTGTTGTGGACAGAAATAGCACCGGTAGGCATGAGTTTAGCAAATCATTTGTCTTGAAAAGTGAAGGCCCGCGTCTGACTACTGGTTCCGTAATTACAATGCGACTCGTATTAGATGTGGCATCGGTTGAATTGTTTGCCGATAACGGGTTGACTACAATTACTGATACATTTTATTCAACCGATAGTCTGAATACTAATATAAACTTGTTTTATGAATCAACTATTGGGACGTCAGTATTGAAAGTCAATAGAGTATACATCAGACAATTGAATAGTGTTTGGAATAATAAGTTTATATAAAACTTTAAATTATATTATTATTTAATATATAATAATTATGATTTAAATATTAACGATTATCAAAAACTATAGTTTATAATACGTAAAAATACTTATTATGTATAAATGTGTATAATAAAATATGCATATTTAAAAATTATGTTTGAGAAAAAAATTATAAAATTAAAATTTATAAATTCATGAAAACAATAATTATTACAATTTTTTTCTTAATCTAATAAATGTCTACTATTTTGTTGATCACTAAGTGTCTTATGAGAGTTGTGCAGACCGTTAGGATATTCAGCGTAAATCATACCAGCCATCCATTTGTGATACTCTTCCTCATTGTTGCACAATAGGGTGCGTCCAAAATACGGACTGTCCTTAGATCTGGTTATTTTCAAATTAAATTAAATCAAAAACATTTATACATTATTTATTACTATTTATATATTTTAATTCATAAGCTAATTACCTAATCTGTGGTGTATTTCGGTCAATAAAAGTGATGGCATATTTAGACTTATCGGCACCGGTATGTTTGCGTTTACCGTCGGCACCCAAATACCAGGTGATGTCTTCGATATTCCATTTTCCCAATGATTTCTCGCCTTTTTGATCGCTATACACACTTAACTTAGCGCCGGTAAACTCGACCAGACATTTGCGATACGATTTGGTCGGACTGTCCGCAAATTTCAACGAACAAAATATAGTAATCGGTGTTTGATCGGACATTTGTCGGACAATTTGTTCGTACAATTGATTCTCCCGTATGCACAGGTAGTTGTCGTGCGAGTAGTGTTGATCCCACTTAACCCACGACAAGGTGACGCCCAAAACAATATCGTTGTTGTGTAGACACCGTTCCAGTTGTTCCTCGTAGACCACCTCAAACACCGATAGCTTTGTGATGTTGTCTCTTAGATTTTCCTATATATTTGTTGTATATATAATTAATTTGATTAATTAATTACTATTAATAATAATACCTTTTTGACAACATATTCGATGAGATCGCCGGCCGTCATCGTTGGCGTTACCCGTACTGTCACACACTGGCCGTACTTACGGTTGTAGACATAGCAAGCAATGAGAAAGTCCTGGCACTCGGATACCGGTTTATTGTGGACTTTGAGTGCCGACACCTCGTGTTTGGCGTCTTTCATCAGTTGCAGTGCTTTCTGTATTTTCCTTTCCTTTTCCATCTCTTGTTGTGTAATATCAAACAACCAGTTGTATGAAACCAATAGGTCGGTCATGATGTCGGTGCCGGCGCTTCGGCCGTCAAACGTCGAGGTCCTGTCGTCGATGACTTTGTCGTTACAACACTTGAAAAATAGTATAGTTTCCGACAATGCCGGTGCCAGTGTCAACAATGTTAGCTTATTTTTATCGTTATTTTGCAATAAACTAAAAATAAAAATAATGATAAAAATAATAAATTATTTTATAAAATTTAATATTAATCATAAAAATAATAAATTATTTTATAAAATTTAATATTAATCATAAAAATTAATTTATAAGACATACCAAACCATATGAAGTACAATCTTCTTGAGTGTTACATAATTAACAACTGGTAATATCTTCAGCAAAACTTTAAATTTTTGTAACCTTTCGTTGGGATTCTCTTCCTCTACAGTAGTGGACAACACCAGAGATATCATTAATAAATCACAAAAAATATGAATAAATTGCATAAAAAACAATAAATGATTTATATTTTAATTTATAATACCATTGGCTTTAATCCAATTGTGATAAAGTTTTTCAGTTAGTATACACTCATTAAGCGATTTGAGAAACAGTATGACTGTTAGACAAACGTCGTGGACAGAGTAGTCGTCAATACGGATCTGAACGTCCCATACGTTGCCGTGTAGTGCAGTGACCAGCGATTGACTAACACGTGAATCGTGATTTTGATAAATATATAGATTAGGTGTGTCGGCACCGTATGTCGACACAAAGTTTATACACTTTTCAATGGCAACCGGCAAGTTATCATTGGTCAGATACTGATCCTCCAGACAACCAGTTTCAGGTTTTTTCCAAATTTTCAGCAACGATTGATACCAGAGCTCTGTGTGAGCCTTGTATTCACACTGTAAATAGATCACCCGGTGCTGAAATGCCACACATACCGGTTGTCCCATTTCGATGGCCGATCCACACGAACTCATCTGATGTACCGATGCGTACGCCACTGACATAACTTTCCGCATATCATAGATCTGATAGCTATGACGACTATTGAGATCCATTGAATCGGTACTCATATGACTTTCACTATCGTCTGATATGATACTCGCGGTGTCGTTGGCGACGGAATTATGATTGCCATTGATTTCCTCCAAGTCTTTTGTAACGATAGTAATCTGTCGTTCCTTTAATACCACATAATTGACAATCCATTGACCACTAATACCGTACTTCATATAAACATAACCGCAATGAAAAGCATCTAATCGTTTAAATAAATTAGATAAACAAAACAAATTAAATACTTTGAAAATTAAAAAATTACTTTTAAAAACTAGTACCGGTAATAAAAAAAGTCAATACAGCTTTGTATGCATGTATTTATCAAACTTTTATACAAACAAACAAAACTGTATATAAGTGTATATGAAATGTATCGATAGTATTATTATGACTAAAATAATCACAATTCATAGAAATACAGATAATTTTTTTAAAAATTATTTAATTAAATACCATTTAATGTAAAGTAGTCCCAAGCGATTGATTCGCAAATAGTATTAAACCAAATCCGCTGATCGGACAGACATTTGGCGGCAAACAGATAGACTCTACCTCTCCGAGAGTTGACCCCAACCTCGAAGTAACTGAAAATTGTTGAATCGCCTGTACTATTGATTACCGGTGCCTTTGTTTTACTCTCAATTGCATCCAATAGCTTAACAAATGCAATATCTTTGAGCATCAGTTTGCCCCGAGAGCTGGTAGTCTTGCGATCTAAATAATAAGCCAGTACTGCCTCATCACTCTGCTGTTGGTGTCGATGCAAAACACACCATCGGTCGTGAAATCGTCGCCTATTGGGTCCCGTTTTCCATAGATAACCGCACTTCTGAATGATGGCTCTGTTATGGTTGTGGTTCAGTAGTCGTGTCTTTGTCGGCGACAATGGACTGGCGTTTTCCAGACGACTGGCCGACAACTTGTTCGACGAGCTATACTTGTCCGCCGATCGGAATGTTTGCGATCGGGCGATACCTAACGTGTTATGTGAAACAAAAAAAACGGTTAATTTATTAAACAAAAAATAATATATTTAATTATAAATTATATTTTTTAGTCTATTTTTAATAGTAAATATTGATGTTATGTTGCATTAGCCGTGAAAATTAATTTTGAATTCAATTTAAAACACATAGACATTAAAAGCAAACATTAAAACATTGCAAAACACATATTACATGTATAGTACAGTATATACAGTACACCGAAAAATTAAATTAAAATTAGTTGGTATTTATTATTAGTTACAGTATTAACATTATTTCCAACAATTTTTTTGAGGATACCTTTATGCCGACAATCTTTATGTTGACAATAATGTGGATCGACTGTAAAAATGCAACAATTTATTATACCGGTAATATATATTATTATACTGTATTATTTGTATAACCATATTAGCAAATAATTATTTGAATAACTAAATAATAATTTATCTAATTATAAGTATATTATATATAACATTAATATAAAATTATATCATCTATTTTATATGATAGAAATATTTTTAGTCTATAATTATATGAATTACAAACCAATCGGCAATTTTTGTGTTGTAGTATAGGGTTCGCTGAGTTTTCTCAAAGGGTTGACAACAATCTTGTCCTCCATATCGACATTATCTCGTAATACCTTTTCTCTAGTAGTCATTCGTGGCGGTACTTCGGGCATCACTGGCGGCGATGGTGTTGTTGTCGGTGATGATGAGGCCTGTGTTGAGCTATACGATGTAAGCGACTGATTATCAGGAGAGTCAGGTGGTGGTGGCGGCGGTGTTTCCGGTGGTAAATGTGGTGGTTTGGGTGGCGGGACGTATTTGGGCGGTTCGGGCAACGGTCGCGGACTAGTCGCCAATGATGATGATGTCGATGTGGTGGACGACGTCTGTTTTGAGCGAAGACTACGACGGGGTTTAGCCTTCGGCGGTAGTGTTGGCGGAGGCGAACAACTGTACTGAGAGGTCACCGGTGTTGACGACAGTGACGGCACTTTCGGTATGGCATAGAACGAGTCGGAACTCATCTGTTCCGAGATTGACTCCAAATAGTTGATGAGATACGTTAGTTCATTACTGTCCTCCCTGTCCACAGATGGTCTCTGATATGACCACGAAGTGGGCACTGAGTTTGACATTGCTGTCGATGTTTGCTATAAAAAAACAATTGGTATAAAAAATAGTCAGATTATTAATAATGAAAACTATTGTTTTTTAATAAATAAAAATCACTTATTATATAGCAATAATTATAATTAGCTTTTTTAATTATATTTATTTATAAACAATTATATATGACCAGGTGCATTAACCTTTAATTTATTGTTTATTGTAATTCACAGTTTTTTGTTATTATTATAATTATTATCACAATTTTTTTATAATATTTGTGAAAAAATAAATAGAAAATTTTATTATATTTAACATATTAGGAAATAATAATTATAGTTTTTATAGCATAAACTAAAATAATAAAATAAGTTTATTAAAATAGTTAAAATAATAAATTGCAAATATTTATTTGAAATATAAATATTGTAAATATATTAAATAATATCAAATTACTTGAAAATAATATTATAAATATAGCAATATTTTAATGAGAATCTTATGTCTATTGATTTTAAGTGTTATTACTTTTTATAATAAATAACAAAAACTAGAATATTGTATATCAAAGTTTATAAACATTTTATTAATTCAATATTATTTGATTTATATACTATACAAAAAACTGATAGCTAAGTTTTTTTTAACTAAAATTATAAAAACTATTTTTTGAAACATATATAACATTTTATAACTTAAGTAAATATAAACTAATTTAAGTCATAGTATATTTCAAAACATTATATCATATTAACGGAAATACCAATGACAATGAATTATATTGAATTTCATGTGTAATTGAATAAATACAGTTATATATTATTAGTAGATATTAATATTTATTATTATTGTTTTATTAAATTTGGTACAATTAAAACAGTTTAATTATTATTATTAAATAATTACAAAATACAGTGTCATGTGATTTTAATTATTAAATATAGATATAACTAAAATAAATGTTTTACAATCTAAGTATTTTGTTATTTTTTATTTAGCACTATAGATTAATTATAATGTTTATTTTTATTTTATTTTCTGTAATCTTAATTAATGATAAAAATAAGTTTAATATAAATATAACTTATTAAACTACTAATTCATTTATATATATAATTTATTGATTGAAATACAGTACTATTATATTTAATAAATAATAATAAGATTATATAAAAAAACAAGTTTTGATTACAGACAACAAAACATTTACTTACAATAGTATTATTATTATCACAAGTTTGTTGGTTAACTAAATCACAATTTACTGATACATTTTTATAACCAGATTTATTAATATTATTATTATTAGACTTTGATGTCCTACTAATAGTAGTCCTTTCGCGTGGCACAGGCCTTATAACTGTTGTCGCACCGATAGTTTCAATAGATGTTGTGTCCATAGAAATAGTAGTATTTTTGACTATATTTATATAATCGACGGGTTTATCGACATTAGCATGACTTTCACTTAACTTAATCATCAGCTCATTGTTGACACTGTTATGACAATTATCAGCACTTTTATCACAACTATTATTATCATTATTGTTAGTCATGTTGTCATTTGACAAACAATTTGTTATGACATTTGTTGTATAATTATTAGTAAGACTATCATTATTATTATGATCATCATTATCATAATTATAGCTATCGTACAATGGATTACCAAACTGATGATTCTGGGTATCGCCTACTATGCGGGCACAGGCATTATCAGCACCCGTACTACTATTTCGGCCACTTGTACTGCTGGTACTGTCGCTGCTGTTAAAGTCATCAATGTTGGCCATTATATTAGTTATAATAATTAAATTAATTTATACAATAATATCTAATATATTTATTAATAATTATCATTATAACTTAAACTTTTAAATTATTTTTAAAAAACAAATATAAGTTTATTTTTATTTTTTCTATTATTAACATTAAATTATTTTGCATTTTTTGAATGCAATAATCATAAATTTTTTAAATAAAAAATGTGAATCATTGTAGATATACTCTACAATAAATTACTTTTATTTTACATTATATTACATAACAATAATAAATAAATAATATTGAGTTCACAACTACTTGTTATTATAAATGAGAAATTTATTAAAACACTTGTCGAGCACTTTATGCAACATTAGTCACAAATATATTATTAATTTTTTTATTTGTTATAATAATTATAATAATTTATAATTCAGCAAAAAACAATAAAAACAAAAATATGTGTTTCATCGATAAATTATTATTATATTAATTATTAATAGATTGTACAGTAATTATTATTATATAAAATTATATGCAATTATTATATTTAAAACATTTGACTTTTTCTTTTATTTAAAAGACTTTGTATTTAACACAATGATTGGCACAAATAAAAACATAATATTTAGTTATTATGATTTGATATTTTCTAATTATATTAACATTAATTTATTTATAACTGTTGGCTAATATAAGTATAATATAAGTAATAATATCATTATAAACAAGCAGTCAATTCATACATCAGTTACTCATTTTTTTAAACAGAAATATAAATTTGATATCAAAATAAATATTTAGTTTTTCCAATGAATTTTGATGAAAATCAAACTCATACTGAAAATACTTATATCATATTATAATATAAAATATACTGTATATATATAAAATATTTTATATAAATAACAAAAAAATATAATGATCTACATAAATATATTTATTTAAATATATATAATAAACTGAATAATGCATACATTAATTAATATTACAAAAACATAACAAACAACACAATCATAAAAAGTATTAATATTATATAAACAAATGAATATATAAATATATTATTATTATTATTATTATGATTATAAAAATATATATACAACTAATTATTTAGTTGTTTGTCAAATATATAAAAAACAACTTTTCCTTTTAATAATAAGTATGCAAAATATTTTCAATGTATAGTCAAAAAATTTAAGTTCAATAAATAACGCTAAATAAAATCAACTAGGATAATTTTGTTCCCTGTATAAAAATAACAATAAATATTTAATACAATTTATTAAAAATCTGGGTAGATTATACTGTATTATACATTGTGAAACCAGTTTATACAGTATTGGCACATACCGTATGGTTTTAAAGCGCACACATAAACACATACAAACACATACACACCTCCAAAACCTACAGTACTAGTAGTTTCTGATAGTGTAAGTCCTCTATAATGTGTATATAACTATGCATTTATGTGCTCATTATAATAGCCACATATGTTATGTGTTTGAGCGATAGTTTCCCGTTTTTGTCAATTGTATGCAATGTATTATTTAGTTATAGAGGGATATGGGTGTTGGTATTGGTGTTTGGTATGTCAGTACTATTGGAGAGAGAGAGAGAGAGAGAGAGAGAGAGAGAGAGAGAGAGAGAGAGAGAGAGAGAGAGAGAGAGAGAGACATATGCTTTTATATGTCAAACATCCCATAAATCTCTAAAATAATAAATATATTCAATTAGTGTTAATTATAACAATTGACTAATATTACCTATAAGTATTTTTTAAGCTAATAATCTTAAAACTTCATATATTAATTTTCACTGTATATTATTCAACATTATGTCAATTGTCAATATTATTTATAAAATTTTAAACTTTTAATATTATAATACTGTATTTAAATATTAATAGTTTAGATCTGCATAGTATTATATAATATATTAGATGATATTGGAAAATAGAGTAATTATCAATTTAAGTAACTGATTAATCTGAAAAATGAGTCATATAAACTTATAATAATCATTTAATAATCAATAATACTGTATGTTTATAAAGGAAATGAGCTGGTTTATATTTTATGTTATTGAATTTAAAGCCAATAATTGTAAATTATTATATTGTCAACCATAGGCTATGATTCATAGCCAATAAATCTGTAATTAAACTATAAAATAAATATTTGTTTAATTTTATATTTGATTAGCTATTAGTTTTATTAGATTGTAAATAGTCTGTATAAATTATATTATATACAGTGTATATTATACAGTATATTAAAGTCACTGATAAAATTATATATAATTAATCTATGATCAATAATTATAATTAATATCAATTATTAAAGTAATTATTATAATATACTGTAATAATATATTTATTCAAACTTAATTAAAGTTAAGAAATTTTTAAATAATTTATCTTAATTATTATATAATATTAAATAGTTAAAATATTTTTAAAAATTTATAATGTCAATAAAATTAAAATAATGTTAGTTTAATAGACATTTAGATAAAAAATAATAATAAAAAAATTTTAATTAATATTTGTTAACATAAATACTGAGTCTAAAAATAAAAATAAGGACACAGATATCATACAGTTTTTTTTAAATAAGCTAAAACATTTTATCACATTTATAAAAAAAATTAAGTATCATGATTCAAAATTTTTAATTTTACATTTATTACTTTTCATAAATAATATTTTTTAAAAATGTGTTGGCACATAAAATGGATACAAATCTTTTTAATTGTAGCTATTATTTTAATAAACAATTTTCATATAATTTTAACAAAATGTAAGATTTATAAAAATATTTTTTAAATATTATTTATTAATTGATTAATTAATTGCAGCAATTGGTGACTATGAGGATAATATCTATAATACTGGTGCCGATGATTCCCAGACACCGCCGCCACGACTGCCAGGTTTTATGAAAGATTTACTAGACTTTCATTTTGATAATCCGTTTCCCGTAAACATCCCGAGCTTTGGTACTCCACAGATGCTAATGGAGTTGTTTCTAATGATATTCAATTCAGATCAGTTCAAAACAATACTTACCAGTAATTATGATAAACTAGACAAACAAACCAGATATCAATTATTATATCTAGTTTTAAATGAATACAGTAAATATTTTTCATAATAATAATTAAACAAAATTATAATTTACTAAAAATATAATAAAATTTGATATATTCATATATAGATTATTAAATAATGTTGTATTTTTATGAAATTAATATTTACTTGATTAATTATCTAGAAATATTAATTAAATTTGACATAATTTCAATAAAATCATATTAAATTCCTAAATTATCTTAGTATTGATATGTAAATAATGCAATTATTTTTATTTTAATCAACCTCAGAGCTAGAGGTAATAATTGTGTAAAATTATATATCTCACACACACACACACAAAGAGAGAGAGAGAGAGAGAGAGAGAGAGAGAGAGAGAGAGTTAAAAAATATATGGGTTTAAAGCAGACAAAAAAAATAGTTTAAGACACCCGGTATTCCCATGTGGTGTCCATCCCAAGTACTAACCGGGCTCTCGGCTGCTTAACTTTGGTCATCCAACGACAACCGGTGCTTTCTAAGTGATATGGTCTTAGACATTACCTAGTACATTTTGTATTAATTTTAATATTATTTGTTATACATATGAGTTAGTATGTATTTTTAAAAAAAAATATTTATTGTATACTAAATTAAAAGTAAATTATTGATAATAATGCAATAATTTCTGAGTAATCACAGGGAAATTACCAAACATATAATTTACATAAATTATATTATTTCTTACAGTTTAACATTTAAAGTAATTATAATAATAAGTGCTTTTAGTACAAATAAATTGAAAAATAATATTCATCATTTAATTAATAGTATAATATTGTTATCAAACTGTTATTATTTTTAAATTAATATAATTAATAACATACATATTAATAATTATATTAATATCAATATTATTTAATTAAATAACTTTTACAATTATTGATACTATGTGTCGCTATTTGCATAAATATTTAATATTATTTTTGTTAGTAATACTACAGTCAGCAAACAGTCAATATTTATGGGATCGCCTCCCGTTTGTGGGCGCCTGTGATCGCATAGCTTCGACAGGAGTTATGAACTGTTATCAAAACTTTTTACCGACTCGTGTATTGAGAAGCAGCGGACCGGGAGGTGGACTCTGTTGGTTAGCATTTAAAAAAATGAATATAAAATCTTTATTATATTTATAATCATTTTCTAGTAACTATAATAAATATAAAGCTTGCTATACGGGATTATATGATGGTTTGCGTGTGGCTATGGAAAGGGAAAGGTGTCCCAAATCATACTCTACCCGTATTATCATGAAATTTGGTGCCTCATTAGGTTGGCCAGTTAGCATGATATGCGAAACTGGTGATAATAGATCATCACAGTGTCCATCATTGAGAAAATTAACTTAATATTAACTATTTATTATTATTTAATAATATAATTTTGTTTGAATTAATAATTTGTTTGAATTACTCAAATATTGTAGAAAAATTAACACATTTTTAATAATGAGTTTTTATAGTATTTTTAATTACAGTATTTAGAATTTATGAAATTTTTTAGTAATCATTTATATTTTTATATTATAATTTTTTCTATCATAGATATGTAAAGTACATTATATACATATTAACTATAATTTCTATTGAAAATATATTTTATTCAAAAATTTTTAGTAATAAATTTAATTATATTCTAATTTTTGTATTATTATTATTTAATAAATAAATTTAGGTATAATACTAATAAAATAGATTACAGGACATCAATTACATTTGTTTTTCGACTAATTTTTAATCAATAAAAGGGAAATCCCTTTTTTATAAATATTATTTTATTACAAATATAGAAAGACAAATAAAATATATTGTACTCAATTTTAAAACAACATTATTTTTTAAAAAACAAAAAATCTATTATATTCAATGTTAATACAACATGATCAATTACAAAATAAATTCACATAGCCTCGGGTCTAATGTACTTAAACTACATGGATCAATTATATTTAATAGCATCAAACAAAAATCCGGTATACAATTATTATTAAGAATATATATATAAAAAAATTTATTTAAACTATTTTTATTTCAAATAAATAGCATCGCAATGACATCAAGGATATAATATTTTAATACACAAACAAATATATACGATATTATCGGTAAACGTAAACCTGTTATTAATAATATTATTATTTAATATCATTATGTACTCAAATTGATTTTTTATTTGTTTGAAAAATGTAAGTAGATTATTAAAATTGATTATAAATAGCTAAATATTTCACTCTTAAATAAATGTCATTATAAAAATAATTTGAAAAAAGCTATTTACTCATTAATAATCAGTATATATATTAAAGTTTTGAAAATTGTTAGTATAGTTAGATTTGTTTGGATTGTACAAAATGTCTTCACCATTTGAACTATGTTTTGTGGCACTAATAGTAACAGTATTTACCAATGAAGTAGTCAATGGTCAACAAGATTTAATAAGAGGTAAACCCATATCAAATGTCGCGTGCGATCGTATTGCCTCTCAGGGTGTACTCAATTGTATGCAAACCTATTTTCCGGGCAGTATTTTGTCGGCATTTAATCCCAATGGAGGCTCAGGTAGAAATAGTGATGTATGCTGGTAAGATATCATATTTTTTAAAAAAATATATCAAAAATAGTGAAAATAAATTATACAAATTTTATAATTTATAATTTTAAAATATATTTTATTTATAATATTTACTATTATATTAAAACTATAAAATTATTTTAGCTAATATAAAACAAATGTTAAATATAATAAAGCTTAATTACTTACAAATTATTAATATTTCTTTTTTAATAACCATGTATACGGTAAGTCTAAATAATTATTAAAAAAATAATATTAAATCTTAAACATTAACTATTCGTAATGAATAATTAAAATATTTTTAATGTATTAATAGAAAATAGCAAAAAGATAATATATCAGAATATACAGTATAATTGATAAATAGATAGTATATTAACATAAATTTATATTCAAACAAATGTTAATTTATTTAATAATTATTTAATTATGATTTAGTCGGTACAGTAAATACAATGCCTGTATCGCTGGTCTGCAAACCGGTTTACGGTTAGCTATGGAAAGGGAACGTTGTTCGCGAGCCTATGCGGCAAAAATTATCCGAAGTACCGGTGAATCAGCACTGGGTATACCACTGAAGTCCTACTGCGGTACAGCAGCCGATGGTAAAAGTCGGTGTCCGCCGTCCAGGACTACATCCAAACCCAGAAAGCAGTCGTCGTCATCTAATCGTAAACCAACTAAGCGTAGGCCAACACAGGATCAGCTCGACCCGTTGGGACTTGGATCGGCATCGGGATCAGGATTGGGATCGGGATTGGATCGCAACAACATATTTAACAGAGGTACCGGTTCTCATGGAGCTGATAACCCGTTGACGGCTATCGGTGACACAATTAACCGAGGCATCGATACCATTGGACAGGGAATCTCATCTATTTTAAACACAGGTACCGCTGCTTTAGGTGGGGCTACTGGTGGTGTTGGTGGTGGTGGTGGAAGAATCTTTGAATCACCGTTAAGTCATATTGGCAGTGTATTTCAAAATGGCCGGGACACTTTACAACGCGGTACTTCCGGTCTACTAAATGGTGGCAAACCTAACAAAAGGACAGATAGTTCAGCACTGGGAGGTTTCGGTTCACCACTCGATGGATTTTTGAATAATGGTCGCGATACTATTGGTAACGGTGCATCTGGTATACTTGGTGGGGCAGATATTTTTGGTTAAATAAATAGATAAAATAAATATTATCTTGATGACTATTTTATTTATAAGTGCACAATTTTGTAAATTTTAATTTTTAATTAATGTTTATTTATAACTAAAAAACATGGTGTCTTAAAAACAGTACTTCAATAATACTCATAATTTAATACAATATAACTCAATGGATAAATAATATTGTTTTTTATTTTGTATAAATTAATTTGATTTAAAAAAAACTGCTACAATATGTGCTCATGTTAAATGTTACATTATATAATTTAGCAAGTTAATTTTCATTAAATATTTTGAACATTTTTTTAGATTTACAGGTATTATTCTAAATATTTATTTATTATTAAATTTTAAAAATATCTTATGAAAACAATATATTTTATTGTTTTATTTAAAAATATTATATCTATTTAATAGTAAATTAGAAAATGTTTATATTTATTTAAAAATATCTAAAGATTAAAATATAAATAATACACAATGTAATTAATAGTTAATTATTAATTAATGTAATTGTAATTAATATATTTTACAAGTTATGCTTAGTTGTAAAAAAAGTTAGGGTTCGGACAAATTCAATCCCTTGTTTTATTAATCTAAAATATCATATTTTCTTTGATTTCTAGAAATTCCCGGTTAATCTAGTTTTTAGTGTTACCATCTATTGAACCTTATTTCAGACATTTTTATACTTTCTGAAAAATACAAGTTAAAACAAATTGTATGTTAAGCGGTAATAATATTACTAAAATTATTGATTTTTAAAAATTATTAATAAAATATTATGTTAAATATTTAATTTTTAACAATATTTTTGTAATATTTTTGAAAAATATTTTTCCTTTTGAAATATTTTTTCTATTTCCTATAAAATTAGAGGGAATCTATTAGTGAAGTTCCCTTATTTATGAAGTTGTCTGAACTCTAAAGATAGTATAGTTTTCAATTAAATAAAATTATACATTATATCGTTATTTAAAAAATAATTTATTAGATTTAGTAATAATAATAATTATATAAGAAATTAATTTAAATTAATAAAATTATTTTTTAAAAAATATTTAGAACAAAACTAATTTTGATGTCATTAAGTATTAAACTAAACTAATAAATATTATATATTAATATTAACTTATTACTGTATGTTATAATCAGGGTTAACTATATTTTAAATACTAGGAGGGATATACAAGGGAGTAAAATAGCGCTAAAATTTTAGGGAATCAATTTCTTTTAATATTTAAGACATGTATTTTCAATTATAGCAAAAAAGTCAGGTATGATTAAAATTTCAATATCTCATTATGAGGGATGGGTGGGTAAAAATATCAAAGCCCTTACCCCTACTCCCCTTAAACCTATTTATAACATTATATAAATTTATTAAAATTTTTATAAATTAATTTAGTGTTTACTAAATTTATACAATATCTATAAACTATTAATTAGATTAGATTAAAATTTTAATAAATAACAAAATCTTGTTTGTAATGAAATAATACATATCTGTTATATATATTTATGTTTATATTTAATAAATATAAATATGTTTTAAAAAAATAAGTTTGTTTTTTGATAACAAACTAAAACTCTTTATTTGATATATATTCCTATTAGAGCAATGAATAAATAGAAATTTCTATTAAATTTCTTTGGAAATATTTCTAGAGAAATATTTTATAAATAAATGAATTGATTTTGTTAATTTAAAAATGCAATAAAATAATGTCAATAATATTTAGTTATTAATTTTTAAAAAAAATTACTATTTAATATATAACAAATGTTTTACAAAAACAAAATTAACATGTGACTTCAACTAATAGATTTTTTTTGAAAAACTTTCTAGAAAGTTACAAATTAGTTAGAAAAAACTTTTCCTTTTTTTTGTCCAACTCTAATTTCTAAATAAAAAACTTTTTTTGCACATCAAATGAAAAATGTCGGCAAATAATATTGTTTATTATAAAATTATTAAAGTAAATATTATTTAATATTTTTTATTATAATAATAATAATAATAAATTAACAATTTAAAATAACATAATAATAAGTGAATTAAAAATAATATAATAATAAATTTCAAATAAAAAAATGGATTATTTGTTATACATTTTGGCCGGTTTTGGCATATTTTCATTGTTAGTACTGTTTGTCAAACTAATAGTTTGGGGCCTTAACTGTGATATTGACCGTCAATTTGTGCCAATTGGTGACAGCGAGGTCTACACTATGAAAGAGTCGTTGACTATATTGAATGCCAACGAAGCCATTGAAGAAATGGATAAAATGCTCGATCAGGTAATTGAGTATAAAATAAATATTAATGAAATAAAATAAAAAATTAATTTTATAAAAAAAACTCGTCATTAATATTATAGTTTAAATTTTTTAAATATAAAATGTTTTATTTTATTTAAATAAAATTCTAATTAATCAATTATTTTTATATTGTATTTATTAATTGACTAATTTGTTGATGTAATTATTTACAATTAACTAACAAATTTAAACCAAACAAGTGTTGCTAACACTGGCATACACTAAGTAATATAATTTAATAATTTAAAATCTAAATTTATATTTTAAAATAACATAAATTTATATAATTTATTAAGTTTCTATTAATTAATATATAACTTTAATTAATATATAAAAAAAGTATATATAATACTAACAGTTAATAATTTATTTCAATAATTCTTTATATATTTATATAATTATTTTATATATAAATGACAAATTAAAATTTATATTGTTTCTTATAATATTTATGATATATATACTATAATTTATAATAGTAATATAATATTCATAAAAAGTTTGTTTATATATATATATATATATTAATAATTATATATTGTAAAAAATAATTGATCAATAATACCATGTTTAGGTTTTAATATATACAGTTTTAATTAAAGTTATATAAATTATCACTAATATTATTACTAATATATAATATATTAAACATTAATTTAGTTAAAATATTTTAATATTATTAATTTGTTAATAATTTACTTTTTAATAATTATTTTTATGGAATACCAACCTATCCTAACCTAACCGACCCATCCTATAGTACACAAAACCAAAAGTAGTTATATCTCGACAATGTATTTGTCCGTTTTGTACGAAAGAGTCGGACAAAATCATTATTAATAATATCGGTAACAATATTATTGATAATACTATCGACGAATGCGATGACAATAGCTTTCAGTCGGTTAGCAGTAGAAGTGATAGTGAAGAAGTCAAGTCAGACAATGACGACGACGAGGATATACCTAATAATAATAATTATTACGACTCCGATGGTTTGATACCAGACATAATGGTCACTATAGACGATGATGAGACCAAACCAGTAGCCGCCAGTGGTGGTGGTGTCTCGAAACGTGTGGTTAACTTAGAGGAAGTCATAATTAGAAACAAGTCGTCATCGCGCGAAGCATTGCCCTGTAGTGTCTACAACAATGTGGTAACAGAGCTCAAGACGCGGTTCGGTTCGTTCATCGATAAGCACCGGCAGCGCAACAATACAATGATTGTGCCGACAGATCCACCGGTTGTTGTTATCTACGATAATAACAGTGTCGATGAAGTGATTGTCGAGTCAACTAATTTATAGATATATTTTAACGATAATTAAATAAAATTTACTTTTTAATAATATATTTTGTATAAGTGTTTTAAATGATTTTTGTAATTATTATTTAGCATTTTATTTTTTTAAAAATATTTAGTAGTAGAAATTTTATTTTTTTAATTTTTTTATTATTGTTATATTATAATTTAAAAATGTTATTAGAAAATTTTGTTAGCGTATACTATAATTAAAATTAAATTTAATATTGTAAATAACTTTGATTATTTCTACAATGATGTATATGTAAAGTATAATTTAATTTATATACTGTATATATATATATCGTATATATAAAGTTATATAAACAAAATGTAATTTTAATAAATAAATTGGTGTATTCGATAGACTATTCAAATGAGCATAATTTATAAAAATTATTATATTAATTATATTAATAATATTAATAATTTTATAATTACAGTTTATTATAGATATTTATTAAATGTTTTAAAAATACAAAAAATGTAACTATTTAAAAATTGTTAATTTAATTTTGTTTTAAAATATAATTTTACTGATATTTTAAATATTTGTTTAAAATTAGCAATAACTGATATACTGTACTAATAAATAAATACAATAAATTTTTAATTCAAATTATAGTACTAAAATTATATTACGAATTGCTGAGACGACAACAATGTAATAAAAGTCCTATTCATTAACTAAGTTATCATATTTAATGCTTACAATGACTGTAAAGCTTAGACTCTAATTGTAAATATGATAACTTAGTTAATGAATAGGACTTTAAAATTAACATGTATTATTATACATTGTTGTCATCTCAGGATATTGTAAAAAAATTTTATGTTTTTTCATATAAAACTATAAGTGAATTCAAATTAACACTATTTATGTTTTAATACTTATTAATAATAAATTGTTATTATTATAAATAATGAATTATTGTTTTTAAAATTTGAATTAAATGAAGGCAATTGATTTTTAAAGTGAAAAATTGATTTATTACTTCTTAAAAAATACTTAATTGTGACACAATTTAACTAAAATTATTTTAGATAATTATTTTTATGAAAGTAATAATATTAGATAATAAATATTTATAGCCTACTCATTATTGTTTATTTTTTTATCTCTTAATAATATTGTATGGACTCAATAATTTAGTGTATAAATAATTTTTATATTTGGAAAACATATATTTTAAATTTATTGAATTAATAACTGAATTAAATTTTTACTCAAAAAACATCTAAAATATTGCAAATTTAATTGAATTATAATTGATATTTTAAATAGATATTAAATGCCAAATAAATTAAATCATGCCTTGAAGATCATAATAAACTAAATAAAGGCATTGATTAGTTAATCACATATAAATATTATATATTAAAATATATTTATTATTTGTGAATCACATATATATCCCACATAATTGATTTTGACATTTGTTTACTAATTGGATTTTTAGATATACATTGTTTTTGAAAAAATTAATATTTATGTAATTTACAAACAATAAAATATGATATTAAAATTAATATATTAATAAATTGCATACACACATACACCCACACTGAAATCATAATTTTTTTTATTAACTATTAGATCATTATAATGGCTAATAATAAATAATTTTATGGTATTTAGAAAAAACATTTTTAATAAGCAATTAGACTGATTAGCAATTGAGAAATTTATAGATTTTAAAATTATTTAATTAATTAATTATGCTTATCTGTATGTATATAAAAATATATTATAATAAATGAATTACTTGAAATTGATTTTTTAAAAACAATACAAAAATAATTATTAAAATACATGACACATATAGTGTTTTTATTATTTATATAATATAAATATTTTTCTAAATATTTAAATGTTTTTTCAAATGAATTTTATGTTTTTAATTTGTTAGTTATAATTTATAAATATTCTTAATTATTTGTAAAGATATATTGATAATTACTGTATATTAATAAAAAATTTCATAGAAATGTAAATTTCTATAAAATTAAACGCATATTATTAAATAAGTTACAGTTTATGAAAAGCTTATTAATGATATTTATTTATATAATTGATTACTAGTAATTTATGGCTAAATTATTCATAACATAAATATATTGTATGTTATGTAAATCAAACAAAATATTTTAATATAAATATTATAAATATATTTATTTTTATCTAACAAGGTTATATAATTGATTATATTAATTAATTTGTTTATTATTAAGATGCATTATAGTATACCTTTATTTTTATTGTTTAATTAATATCAATAAATCATATTTTATAAATAATAATTACAACTATTTAAAAATATAGATTTCATTTAGTACATATATAATCAATTAATAAAAAGCAAATAAACACAAAATAATAATTATTATTATATATAATTAATAAGCAATTATAATTTTATATATGTAGAATTTTACTGTTATTGTTATTATTATTATTATATAGGATTGTTATTTTTACAAATTTTTATAGATTTATTGTTTTATAAAATATTTATTTTAATTGTAATAATAAAAATAAATATAAATTATTTATGATTTTACTTTACTTATTTTAATTGTTAACTTTTGTCTATAATGAGGAATTGTTGGGAAAGTTTTATTTCAATCTCATCCCAACCCTATTATAATTAAGTATATATGTATATATAAATGTTTAAACAAATAAAATAATATTTTCATTTTTTGTAAAAAACAATCAAATATGTAATATAATATATTTTTATATTAATTTATTACTATAAGTAAGATAATGTACTGTTTTTTACTTTACTGTTTATTGTAATGTATTGTAAATGTATTTAAATTCAAGGTTTAGGCGGGAGTTTGAATGAAAATAAAAATTAATAAACATTTATTGAAGTTTATGATTGCAATAAATTTATTTTGTGTATGTGTTTATATCTATTTATTTTAATATTTTTTTGTAAAAATACAATATAGACTTAATTTATTGGGTTCTCTTTCAAGTGTCTAATAGGATTATAATAATTGATGAATAATTTATAGACTAATTGTTTTTCATAATTTTTTGATATTATCAAGGTGTCTATGATATAATCATCATTTTGAAAATAGCTAATTAGTAATTGTACAAAAATTAAAATTAATATTAAAATTAATACTATTAATATTATTATGTAATTTGCATGTATGTGTGTATAATTATAAAATATGAATTTTTATATCTTAGTGCTAAAAATATATTTACCGATAATTTACAACAAAAAATATATAATAAAGTTTAGAAAGTATTATAATTTATTAAAATATAACTATAATATGTAATAAAGTTTTAAATATGTTAACTAAATAATTAAATATCAAATATATAGTTCATAGTTAAGAAATATACGATAAATCTCTATTTACTTTTAGTGGTTTATAAATATTTATTGAATATAAATAAAATAAAAAAAGATAAAAAAAACTAATTTTTATTTACTTACACTTAAATTTATGTAAATATCTCACTTACTTTAGTTTATTAGCTTACATTAGCTTATAAACCAATTATAACTATTATTTTTAGGACAAAATTAAATAAGGAATTTTTTTACTAATATAATTTGCTATTTTGTAAAAATATTATTATTTTATTTTACTAATATATAAAAATGTTATTTTTTAAAATAATATAGCTAAAAACTAAGTGTATTGTTTTAATAATGGTTACTAAATGCTGAATCTCCCACTCAATCACGCAAAACAAGTTACAAAAAATAAATATTTCATTGAAATAAAATGGTATTGATGAGCACTGGTATGTATTACACGATATACAAGATTATGAGTGTTGTCTAACAACACAAAAATTAAGTCATTATTATTATTATTGTCTCAATAATACAAAACTTATGGAAAATATGATTTGTTAGAAACAAAAAAAAATAATTGTTTATTAGTAATAGTGAGTTACTGTGTGTTAGAGAGAGAGAGAGAGAGAGAGAGAGAGAGAGAGAGAGAGAGAGAGAGAGAGAGAGAGAGAGAGAGAGTCAGTAAAATAAATAAAACTTGTTTTTTAAGCTATAGTTTCAGATATCGTAAATAATTTTTGATTACTTTCACCGTTAAATAACTTATAGGCGATACACAAAAGGTATTTAACTAAAAAAAATAAATTATAATTTTGTGAATCATTAGAAAAAATTCTATTAAAACTTTCAAAACCTATATAAATGCTAATAATTATTATTATTTTTTTGAATCACACAAATATTTGATTGTTTGTTGTATTTGTAATATTCGTCAAATAAATATATAAATTAATAAATAATAAATATAAATATCTACTCACAAATCATTTTGTCTATTATTTTTTTGTGTATTATTATTATTATTATCATTATTGTTACCTTCAAAACAGTCATAATCACTGAACAAAATATAATAATAAAAGTATAAAAATAAAATGCTAAAAAAGTGATTTACTTTTAGTTTTTATTATTTTCTTTTAGCTAAAAAAACAAAATCTTTATATTATTGTTAAGTTTTTTTTTGTTTTGCATTAAATATTTACAAACTTCATCAACAATAAAAATATTTCATTTAACAAAATGTAAGTTTTTATTTTATTTTTTACGTTAATTAATAGTCTTTATTTAAATGTTTAGTACTAACAATAGATATAAAAAGATATCATTATTTTTTAAATTAATTTATATTTTCATTATCATCCATAGTTAACAAATATATTTTATATATTATTTTTTCAACAATTTTTAAAGTATTTAAGTATTTATTTTGAATGTTATCAGTGAAGATCAGATACCATTGATTTGTTACTATAATATTTATCGCTAAAATTAATTAGCATTTAATAAAGTTTATACAAAATAATAAAAATACATTATTATCAACTATTATTTAATAAAGTACATTACATGACTTGAATTTTAAAAATAAATTGTTTAAAAATTTACACTAAAAACCATATATTATTACTTAATATATACTTTTATGAAATTATTTCAAATTATTATTGAAGTCATGTAAGTAATTGCGATTAAAACACATATCGATGAAATTATTGTATTATTAACTTTATACTTGTACTTAAAATCTATATAATTTGTTATAATTTTATATAAATATAAGAGATTTTTTTAAAAAGTTTTAATTTGTATTTCATTTTATGGCAATATTACTTTACATTTAATCAGTTATTGTTGTTTTAAATTACTTAATATTACATAAGATATACAGTAAATGTTCAATACTTAACATATATATAATTAACAATAATTAGCTTTTACTTAATTGAAAAATTATTATTGAATAGAGTCTTGAAAACAACAATAACTAAACTTTTTTTTGGCACATCTTTAATATACAAACTATGAGACTACTTATTGTAAGTAATTAAATATTTTTTATATTTTATTATATAAACTTAAATATTATATATATTTAAAAAAAAGTTTACTTTAAATTTAAATATTGACTAATTATTGTTAAAAAATGTATCATTTTATAATATGCTACAGTATTATTTTGTGATATACTTTTCAATAATTTATATAAAATACTGTAATTAAAATATTTTATATATTATTTTTTAAATATTTATTTTTTTTTGGTTAAAATAAATAATAGATTTTAACCGCACTTATTGTGCACACATTAGCCGCTACTATCGGTAACGATAAAAGCGGCGACACTTTGATCAGCAAATCGGATAAACAAAAGGCCGATGAAATAGAGGCCATACCGACGTCTTATGATTTTAAATACTCTACGGGTAGTGAAGGACCGGCACAATTATTCCGTGAAGAGCACAGGGATCACGACGGCAGTGTACGCGGCAAATATGGTTATGTCGATCCTAACGGCAAATTGAGGTCAAATATTTGTATTTTTTGTGATTATTATTAGATAAATATTATGAATTTTCATATATTATATATATATTTCTAGTTGTCTATCAATTAAATTGAAAACATAAAAATGTAAAAAATATTTAAGAAAAATAGCATTTCAAATATGATAATCAAATATTTTAATTGATTATTATTATTAAAATTATAATTAGAGTCGTTGAATACCGTGCGGGTGCTAATGGTTATACAGTGACCGGCGATATTGGACCCGATAAGGCCACACAATCGGCCGCACAGTATGAACAACGCAACGATCCGTCTGTACGGACACAGGCAGATGTATGGAATCGAGTTCAGGGATCATCAGGTGGTAGTGGTGTCGGCTCATCATTAGGTTCGGGTGGTTGGAGTGGTGTCGATCCGCTATGGAATGTGAGTCCACAACAATCACCGCAACAACAACAACAACAACCGCTGGCCACTAAACATCAATTTCAGTCACCGGCAGTTTCGGGAACAGGAGATAAGCTGTGGGATGATAAGACACAGAGCGCATGGGATACTAGTTCTGGTAATAATTGGCGATCAGATGACAGATCTGATGGTGACAGTGGTCGTAGTGGTGGAGTAAGAAGTCCAGTGGATTGGAATACTTGGAGTTCCGGACAAAATTCATGGACTAAACAACAACAAATCGGTAGTACTTCAGGCAATGGTCAGAGCTGGACATCGCGGGTACAACACGATTGGCCAAACAGTCCGACATCAACGCAACCACAACAGTCTGCCGGTGCACAATGGGGTCAACAATCAAATCAATTGCCACCACAGTCGACACCAGTGACCAGCAAATGGACACCACCGTCATCACCGACTCAGGGATCCAGTACTGGTCAATGGTTGCAACAACCAAGTAGTGGAGGACAATGGGGTCAATTCGGTGATAATAATGCAGTTTCTGGAGACCAGGGATCAACCGTTGATACCGGTATACATCAGCAGTCACCGAAACTGCCAGCCACTCAACGAGATGTTACTGAATTGAGACAAAAGTGGACAGGTATACCACCGCCAGGCAAATGGCAGGACCCGATAACACCCGGATCACAGCCAACATGGAATTCACCCATAAGTAGTACTGGAAATATAGCTCCACAACAACAGCAACAACAATGGGGACAACAATCTACTAGTGCTCAATGGCAACCATCACCGTCGGCAGGTTTACCGCAAAATTCAATTGCAGATCAATGGGCTCAGAGAGCACAACAGCAGCAACAACCAGATTATAGCGGTGTTCAATGGACTCCACAACAGAATCCCGGATCAATTGCTGATCAATGGACTCAACGACAGTCTAATCAACGACATCAATGGGGACAGACAGGTCAACAACAGTGGGGTCAGAGAGATCAACCTCAATTGGGACAGACAAGTCGACCACAATGGGGACAGACAAGTCAGCCACAGTTGGGACAATCAGGTCAGTCACAGTGGGGACAGTCAGGTCAACCACAGTTGGGACAGTCAGGTCAACCACAGTTGGGACAGTCAGGTCAACCACAGTTGGGACAGTTAGGTCAGACACAATGGGGACTGTCAGGTCAACCACAGTGGGGACAGTCAGGTCAACCACAGTGGGGACAGTCAGGTCAACCACAGTTGGGACAGACAGGTAATCCACAGTGGGGACAATCAGGTCAGCAAAAGTGGGGAGAGACAGGCCAACAACAACCTCAAACACAGTGGACACAAACATCAATTTTAGGTTCAAATTTTACCGAAAAATCACCGAAACAGGACAGTTGGTTGAATACTGCTCAGAATGCAAACGCTCAACAATCACAACCACAGCCACAATGGCCACAATCTCCGGCCAAAACTGCCAGATTAGCTGACTTGGCCCAGTCTGGACCAACATCACTGCCTGATCAACAACAATCACCGCCAAAGCCACTACCAGTGCCATACCAGCCGTCATCGGCTATCGGTTTGCCTCAACCGTCAGCTCAACAATGGTCTCAACCAATCGGCACTAATGTTCCGTCCGGACAGGGATTTAGCTCAGCGTCATTGTCGCCACCGTCGGCACAGCGCCAACAATCACAACAACAATGGCCTACAAGTGGACAGTCAGGTTCCGACATGTTTGGTGGGGCACCGTTTGTTCAATTCATGATTGAACATACCATTGATCCCAACCAACCGCCCCTCAAATATCAATATTCTTATTAAACAAAAAATAAATAATCAGTTATAGTAATACATTATAGTAATAGTTGACCGAAAACTAAACATTTCTATCTAAAAATAATTAGTTATATAATATCTAAAAATAAATTTCCTTAAAGTTTGATAACAAAAATCTCAAGTATTTTATAGACCATTATATGTTAATATAAATATAATTTTTTTATCTAACATAAATAATGATTATTTTATTAATAATTTTATACTTTGAAAAACTTGCTAAATGGTTTAATGTGTGTTTGTATGTGAGCTATACCTGTGGTTAACCTTTAAATGCAATGACAGATATTTGACTGATTTTATAATAAAAATGATATTTCATATTTGCAATGAATCTCTTTTCTAAAAAATTTGATTAAAGTTTACATATATTTTACATAAAAATACAATAAATGTTTTTTTTATCTGCAATTGTTAAAAATTTTTATCTTTTAAAATATTCAACTTAATCTATCACTTTTATTTTGATAAAATTGACATTTTTACTTATTGAATTTGTTTTTGTATAAAATATCAATTGTTATTATAAACAAATAATTGTTGTTTGTTTAAATAATAATAATAAAAAATAATGTAAATTGACATTTGAATAACATTTTAAAATAAACTTCAAATATTTTTGTTCAATTATTTAGAATTTTTTTTAAAATAAATAATTAATTTTCAATTACTAAAATATTTAGCTATTATTTCAATAAATTTATAAATATTATAATTTATTCATTTAAAATAACATGTTTTATGCAACAATAATAATTAAATATTTTGAGATATAATAAAATTATACTGTTTTTGTCAAATATAATTTTTTATATAACTTAATGTAACATTTTCTAGTTGACTAATAATTATTAAGTTATGAATCTTTATATAAACATATAATAGTTGCCATAATTTTTACTTTATTAATAGTAATTTATATAAAAAATAAATAAAATATGGTTTAAAACTTGAAAAAACTGTTTTAACATATAATGTTTTTTTAGTTAAAATTTGATTAGTCAAAAAAAGTTAATTTGATGACCACAATATAATTTTTATTTATAAATATCATTGACATATCAATGATTTTAATATCATGTTTTAGAAATTTATATAAAATTCTTAATTTGTTTTAAAAATTAATTTAATAAAAATAATTTTTAGTTTTTATTAACCTTGCTAAACTACATTATAAATTACAGTTTATATTAATATTATGGTGTATTATCATTATTATAATAATTATTATTGTAAAAATAATTGAAAAATGTGTATATAATAAAAAACAAATTTAATATTTAAAAAAATATATAAAACAACTATTAATATTTGATAGTTTTATCTAATTATCTAAATATTATAACTATTTTATATCAAATCTTATTTTATTTAATTAGTAATAATATTATAAAACTTTATTCAAATGATTATTTTAAAAAAAAACTAAATATAACATTAATTTGAATTTTAGTGAATTATGTTTTTTCAACTTAAAATATAAAATGAAACAAAAGTTTTTTCCCAACAAATTCATAATAAAAAAAATATTTTTAAAAAACTGATGACACGCTCCAAGAAATGTATTTTTATAATAATAATAATTCATTATATATTCTCAGACATTCAAATATGTGTCACAAAAAATTTTGTTACATTTGTTGACATGTGTTGCTAAAAATAGACTAAATTTTTATACTATAATATTAACGATAATATGTTTACTGTACACAATATATACTATATGATGAAATGTTTAGATTTTATTATAATTATTACATAACTATAATTTACTAACATTTGCTATATAAGCAAAAAAAAATATTTGAGTTTTTCATCTAATCTATTCATTAATTTAATTTAAATAGTATTAAAAATAACAAATAATTTTATAGTTAATACGATAACTTGTTTAAAGAAATACATTAATATAGAATATATTTATTTTTGTAAATTTCATAGTAATAACAATTGATAATTTATTAATTTTTTATGTATAGATTTTGTTATATATTCAAAAATTTTGATGACATAATAATATTTTATTTAAACTAAAATTCTTAGAAAATTTATTTAGTTTTGAACATAATTTAGAAATAATTAAATAAATTTATATATTTAATGTTTAATACAAATCTTTTTTAAAATTTGATATTTGTTAAATATTTAAAGTATGCTTAAAAATGTTTATGATATTTTCTAATTTTAAAAATATTCTATAAATTATTTAAAAAAATTGGGTTTAATTTATAGATAGTTTTTAATCTAAAACAATATATTTTAATATAAAATTAATTAATAATAACTTAAATGTTTTTGTCAGCAAATTTAAAAACAAATCTTACACACATTAAGTATTAGTTAACAAATAATAAAAATAATATTAATTAAACAAATTTGTATAAATATTTTTTATTGGTTTTTTTTAATTATATAAATATTGTATAACAATAACAACTATTATGTTTACAATGTAAAAAATAAATAAATAATAATATAAATGCTTAAAACAATTTATGGCACAATTAGATAACAATTCTCATATATTATTTTTATTTAAATAGTTTGTATTTAAAATGCATTTTTCTTATTATTTTTATTTAATTTAATTTTTTTCTTTATCTAAGTCAAGAATTTTGCTCTAAATTTCTGTCAACTCTCTACTGCTTTACATTAAATAATTGTATACTAAATATAAATATATATTTATTATATAAAGTATAATACTAGTGACTGTATATACAGTACAACTACTACTACTAGTAGTAGTTAGTTATACATAAACTATTTCTCAATTTGAAAGTTGTTTTTAGTTTTTATTATCATTTTTATTGCTATACTTTTTTTGCGGGTATGTAAATACTGTTTATGTATTTATATACATATACTGTATATATTGTATATATATATAATGATAATGTGTGCTAACCTTAAAACACATTTTCATCTATTTTTCTCTCTCATCTCACTAGTGGTGCAAAAAAAATCTATTATTTATTATAAGTTTCACTTTCACTAAATTTTTTTTAATAATAATAATACTGTATAGTATAGACAGTGTATATCTTTATATTATTAGTTTAAAAATAGTGAATGTTTTCAATTTAAAGGCACAAAGTAGAGGGGGAAATCCTTAAAATAATAATCAATAAATTATTGTCAATATTTATAAAAATTTTAAGTTTAAAACTTATAGATGAAGTCATATGTCGCCCGTCTTTTTTTATAATCAATTACTTTATAATAAATCATTTGACTGTTTATGAAATAACTGTGTTTTAAATATATATATATATTTATTACTATTATTTTTAATATTTTTATAACATTGAAAATATACAGAGTATTTGTCTCTATCGCCAAATAAAATGTGATTTTTTTTGTTGAAAATTTGGTGTTGAATTCAAAATAAAGTGCGAATATTTTTTTTAGTTTAATTAAGTCAATCGTTCAAAACATTTGACTGTTGTGTGTGTTTGTGTGTCTAATATACTGTTGTATTACTATTTCAGTTATTAGTTGTGTTGCGATTCATTAGTCTTATACACAAAAAAAAATTTCATTATTCAAACAGTTATATAAATTATATAAAGTAATAAAAAACTTACAAATAATACATTTTAAAAAAGTGATAATCTAATCAAATTTTGTTAAATTAATTATTTTCATTTAATTGAAATATTTTATTCTCAATCTTGAAATTGTTTAATAATAATTATTTTTTATTTATAAAAATAAATAAACTTATTTAATAAATTAAATATATATTAATTAAAAATAATATTTAAATTGTATGAATAATGTCATCACTCGATGCCTCGCAAATCAAAGTTACCGGTGAAGGACTGACTGAGGGAACAACCGGTAAAAAATGTGAAATATATTTTACCGGTGCGCCCATCGGTGAACTGGAAAAAGGACTGACCACTAGAGTAGACGGTCCGCAAAAATCGGAAATTATTGTTGACTTTGAAAAGGAAAACTCCGATGGACAGGTAGAGGCCTACTACGTGCCAATAGTACCGGGAGATTACAAAATAACAGTGCGATTCAATGGCCGACAAGTGCCGGGCAGTCCGTTTAAACCTAAAGTTACGGGTCAACCGGTTTCAGCCGAAAAGTTGATTTCAAAGGTAATATTGACAAAAAAAATTAATTACTTATTTTTTAGTTAATTTTTTGCACAAATATTTTTACCGATGTTTTATTTTATGATAAACTAAAATATTTAATTTTTATAAAACATTTCTAAAAACAAATTGTATTTTTAAAACTTATTTATTTTTTCTTTTATTAAAAATCACACCAACAAAGGCCACAATCCACGGTCGGGCCTCCGAACTCGGGAAAGCCTATTCAGTCAACGAGTTTGTGGTCGACTGTTCCCGAGTAAAGCCGGTCATCGGTAGTCTCAAAGTGCATGTCAAAGGTCAGGAGCGATCTTCGGCTCAGTTGAATCTTGTGGACAACAAAAACGGTACTTTTCGGGTGCTCTATAAGCCAACGTCCCCCGGAATGTATGAAATGGACATCAAGATAGCCGACGCACATATACCCGGATCACCGCTTAAAATACGTGTCACTGAATTTTTGTCATGCTAAATTTATGTTAACTAATTTTTATTGTTATTTAAATATTATCTTGCTTATATTTATTATTTAATATATTAATCTTATATTGATAATATAATTTAACATGATAACATAAAAAATATTAATTATGTAATATTAAATATATTTATTGATTGTTTGTTTGTTGTATAATATGATATAATATTTTTAAATAAAGATAATCTGAGTGACAAAATTATGAAATCAAATTATTTTTTAATAATAGTATTAAGATAAAATTTTTAATAAAAAAATCTTTATTAATAATAAATAATCAATTAGTATTCACTTTTTTTTGTAAATAATAACATTAAATTTTAAATTTTATATACAGTATATACTGTATATAAGTTAGATTAATTTAACAATAAAACAATTAATAACTATACATAGAGTGATAAATTAGTCGAATTAATATATTTATGTAATAAAATTAATCAATTTATTGCAGCATTTTATGGTTATTTTATTATTATATACTATTCCTAGTAAACAAATTCAAAAAATAATAAAATTCAATGTCGGGTTAACCAAAAACAAACCACAAAAGCTAATAATTTTATTTTTATGTTATAGTTATAGACTAATATTTGTTGCCAAATAGCTTAACTTAAATATAATATTTTAACGATTTATGTGTCGCCGATTTGTTTGTGATCAATGCGACACAACATATTGATGGGCACCGAAACTAATAAACAGTCCATACATTCAATATATTAATATAATAAATATTTGGGTATAAATTAATTGACAAAAAAATAATGTGTAAAGTGTGGTAATGTTAGATAAAACTAAATAACTATAAATAATAGTTTAATATAAAAAATATTTTTTTTAATAATAAACATTTGCTTTATTCTAATAACTTAATATTAGATAAATAAAAATAATTATTAAATTAAAACGCGGTAATGCTTTTAATATTGATGATTTTGTTTTGATTAATTTTAGTCAACAATATTATATCAATATTTATATAAATTTATTATTTCTATTTATTTTATTTTAATTTTAGTTTCTTTATTTGTGAGTGTGTTTTGTAGCTGAAAATTAAAATGATTAATTATTGTTAATAGACTTAATAAACAACTATTAATATTTCGTACAATACCTGTATAATAATTTGATACAATTTCTGAAAATAGTATATAATATTTTATAAATTCAAAAGTTTGTGTTTATTTGTTTTAAAATAACTAATTTGGTGTAAAATTAGTGTTAAGTTTAGTGTTAAATTTATATGTATAAAAATTATATAACATCTATAAATTTTATACATTATTAAAATAAATATAAAATTTCAATTTACTCAAAAAACGTTTTTTAACAAAAAAAATAATTTCTGGTTATAATTTTACAACTAGCTTAATATTTTTAATCAAAAAAATTTTTAATTAACTAATTGGTTTGTTAATTTATTTTCTATATTTATAAATATACAGGTAATTCATTTAAGTTTAAATAATATATTTATATATATATATATTAAACAATAGAAAATAATTTTTTTAATTAATAACCTAGGATAATTTTTTAAAAATAAAAATTAATAACGCTTCACGATTTTGCGTGTCATCCTTGCTTCGGGGCCATGCTAATCTTCTCTGTATCGTTCCAATTTTAGTATATGTCCCACCGACGCGGGACAGTTAGATCTATACATAACTGTCCTCATATAGTATTTATATTATAGATAATTATTTTGTTACAGTTTTTAAAATGTTTAATTTTCTAGTTTTAAAATTGTTTGTTTATTTTACTATACAAATATATATACTGATGATAATACTACTGATAAAAATTCTAATCATTCAATCAATAGTCTAATTGGATTATATATATAAATTATAATTATTTTTTATTTGTTATTAATAAGTCAAATAACTTGATTATGTTTTCTATTATTAACAAATTTATTTATTTATTTTTTAAAATAACAATTATTTTTATTTATACTGTATTTATAAACATTATAAATAATAATTGAAACAAACATAAATCCCTTTATATTAATTGCTCATTAATACAAAATATAAATGTATCTAAAAAATATTGTACATATAAATCATTGGCATTTTCATGTATAATCTACTTTTAAAAATTTAATTAATCAATAATTCATTATACCATTAGTCTACATCATTTGGTCCAAATATTACGCTAATAGAGTCGTCAACATTGATAACCCCATGAGACAAATGACCAAATATGACACCAAAACTTGGACCCAAACCCTTGCTTTTTGTTATGCCTTTCGGCGGTCGGAAACTGAAAAAAATAAAAGAAAAATAATTATTATAATAAATTTTTGTTTGAATCTATACTAACGATTTGAGAGCTGTCAGTGTTTCCATATTTTTGACACCAGTGTCCGTATTGACTGTAGTTGATGGACACCGATCGCAGCTCAATAGTCGCTTAAAGTTGACGCCATTAATTGACATCCATTTCCACGTGTCCTCAGTCCACGGTTCAGGATAATCAACCAATAGGTTTGGCCGAAAGTTTTCATGTGTTACGTGATCGGCTCCTTCAGTAAAACGGGAGTTCAGGTCGGCCACTGACCGTTCATTTACCAAATGTAAACCCGATTTGTTTTGATAGATAATCGGAAATTCCCTGTCGTCGGGACGTCTCTTATCTGAATTGGTGTCCCGATAGTCAAAGTCGCTGTGATGTTGTACCAGACGTATGCTATCATTGTTGAGATATGTCTGAAACCAGTGGTTAACTTCCGGTCCGCAGTCCAAACCATTAATCTCTTGGCCGTACATTCGTAGCGATACTACTGAGTGATTGTCGATATTCTCAATATATTTGAGTTTTAATGTCGGCATATCTGGTCCATCAATCCATAGCTCGTCGCCGATAATTTGACTTCTGGTTAGTGCCAGCCGTGGCTCATGTTTGATACCAATCCAACGGTTATTACCGTCTAATATAACCCACGATCTATACAATTAATAGCTTAATATAGTAAATATACAATAATTTTTTCATACCTATCCTTAAACACACCATATTTGACACCGTATTTAGTGATTTCCAGATGAGGCACTTCCACACCTTTGACAGCTTTTATTGGATATATAAACAATTGTTTAACATTACAGACTTTAACAAAGTTTTTACGAGTTTTAGTGTATATATAATATAAGAGTGATGTCGTTGTAATCACTGATAGGCCCGCTATTAACGGAACCGATAGTTGTTGTGTAGATAACATAACAACTAATTACAACAAAAATTTAAGTTTTAATTAGATTTTTTTACTGTAGGACAAAAAAAGTTAAACAGTCTATTAAAAACAATTTAATAATTTTTATTTAGTTTTAATATTTTTTTTGCTCATTTGACTGCTTTTTATGGTTTTATTCTCCATAAGTAATCAATATTTGTTTAGCAATCTTTTTTTATGATAAAGTTTTTATGTAAACTTTATAACCAAATATAGACATTGTTATTAAAATAGATGATACTATTGATATCTGTGTCAGTAAAACATCTATAATATAAAGATTATTGTATTGATGTGTATATTTTATTTTTGCTGCCATCGATATGTTTGTTTAAAATTAACAAAATACAAATTTTTAGTAAACAGTTTAATATTTATTACAAGTTGTCTTAAATTAAAAACTAATTAAATAATCATAAATTATATTTTTTGCTTATATTTCTCATTAACAATTTATGGGATATCGGTGGCCGAAAGGCTAAGTTGTCATATTTTGGATATAAATATAATCCGAGTTCAAAAAAATCTTAAAAATCTAAAAAGTTAATTATTAGTCCTTTTTTCCTAGCTATTTTTTGTAATTTTAAATACTAGGAAATTATGCTTTTAGTTATGACTAATTACTTATATATAGCCTTAGTATAATTAGTATTGTTAGAGAGAAACCTAGATGATTTATGGTTTTATGATTTTAGGATTTATGGTTCTCTAAACCCCGTACATGAAATTTTGCAAAAACGGATGATGCAAATCATTGATTGCTTAACTAATAAGTAATTTTGTTATTAAAGTATTATTATTATCATATATTTTATTTAGTTTTAAGATTATAGTTTGGAAACTAATGAAGTAAAAAATATAGTCTATATACTAATTATTTTTTAAATTTTATTATTATTTATTTTTTATAAATTTATAACTTATGGTTTGTGAATCATATTATAGATATGATTTATTGTACAAATAGATAAAAATTTATCATGATAAGTTAGCCATAAAAATAATCTAGAATTTGTAATCAATGGCCTTAAAAACATATTTTTTTAATAACTAACGATTAATTTTAATTTATGATTTTAAAATTATATAATAAATGTTTTAATATTTAATTTATTTAACTTTCTTAGTGATAATAAATTATGAATATTAATAATTGTTTTTATGTGAAATAAATACGTCATTACTTATAAAATAAACATTTATTCATTGATATGATTATTAAGTTTTGTTATATAAAATATATTAAATTAAATTTATATTTAAAGTTACTAAAAGAAAAATCAATAAAATTTTTAAAACAATTAAATAATAATTGATAAATTATATATTTGTATTATCAAATTGATAATTTTTTTTTAATAATTAACAATTTAACAATTATTAATAGAAACGGGTTTATGTTTTTTAAAATAAATATTTTATCCATATTTTTTTCGCACAACCAAATCGTTGATCGCCACATAACTGTCCCACAATTGACACATAAAACACAGTGTCAGTGCAAACTATCAGTCCTTTTTCTATATTATATTAAGCCATAAGTTCTAGCATTTCGGGTATCGGACGATACGGTAGACGATAGACGCGCGACTGTAGTAATGGTTTAACTGATTCACTTGTCTTAGCGCCTGTCGCTCAGCGGCAGCACTGATAGCTCTAATGATTGACTTTTATATGACGAAAATAAAATTTTAATTAACTAATAAATTTTTATTATTTTCATACCTGTATTAAATTAATTGATTAAATAATTGATAATCACGAGCGAATTACTACAGTTTTTACAATAAATAACAACAATAATAACAAATAAAACTTTTTATTAATTTTATTCAATGATTTATTGTTGTTTGAGTACATAATTAAAAAAAAAAGTTTATAACTTTAGCAATAAAAAAACTTTATTAAAAACAATAAAAATTTAATTACAGTAATGTGAGGATATTTGTGTAGTATTGAAACACTACTATATTTATTATGATCTTAGTTTTAGGTATGACTTTCCGTTTGTCTATTGTTTAAGTTATTTATAATTTTTAAATAATTAGTTTGTTTATCGGTGAATGTTTTATTACAATTATTATAGTCATTACATTTGAATTGTCATTTTTAAATATATAACATTATAGATATAGATATAAATAAATTAATTACCGGTAATATAAGTACTTACTATTACTATACTAACAGATTATAATTGTAAGATTGATAAAACATTTGCAGCCAAAAATAATATGTAAATTTACTAAATCATATATTTATTATTTATAAATTTATGAAAATACGTTTCAATATACAAACAATAAAGTTTTTTTTAAATTTAAATAAATTATTTACATTGAAAATTCATATAATAATATTACTAATCAGATTTAAAATTAAATCAAATAACTACTAAAATTATACAATATTTATAATTAATGCTACAATAAAAAAAAGTTTTAAACTTATTATTAGACTTAAATGTTGTTTATTGTTAAATAAATAAACAAATAAATTGAGAAAATAAAATAATATGATTAATATGTAAGAAAATTGATATTTTTAAAAAATAAATATATATTTAAATATTGAATATATCTACTCTGTTATTATGAATGACAATCAAAACATCATTCATTATGTATATGTCAAACGAAACATAATTTTATTTTTTATTTGTATATATATATATATATTTATATGAAATAATTTCCACACAAAAAACTACATGTGCTTCTTAAACATACTGATGCCTGTAATCTAAAAGATTGAGTTACTTCTGTCCAAAACCCTGATCTTGAACGGCGATCCGGGTATATGTGTGTCGGCAATCTTAATGTCCATATTGTAAGTACCCGGTAGTATTGGCTTATATAGTATCTGATAGGTACCGTTCCTGTTGTCGATGATGTCCAAGTGTGCTGACGACCTGACCGGTCCTTTAACGTGAACAGTAAGACCACCCAAAACTGGCTTTACTTTGGAACAGTCGACTAGAAACTCGTTGACTATCAGTGCCCGACCCAGTGATGAAGCTTTACCGAAAACCTGCACCTAATTTGGTAATAAAACAAATATTTTAAAAATTACACAAAAAAACTAAATATTTTTATGTTTGACATTCAAAATCTTTTTATGATAACATTGAAAACAAAATGTAGTCAAAAATATATATATATTTGTTTTATATGTGTCAAAAAAATGTACTGTCATATACTTTACATATTTTATGACAAATATAAATGATTTTATTTTCATATTTTGAGCCAAATTCATGTATAAATTTTTTTTTGATAAAATAATTTTATTGAAATAATTATGGTTATTATAATATTCTTTAAAATTTTAGTTTTAATTTAAAGTAACTAAAAATAGTCTTTGAAAATTAATTATAATTCATTAATTATTATTTTTAATAATTTGTGAAATTAATTTACACTTTACTTTAAGAAATTTAGTAAATGTTAATTACTTTATAGATATTATTAAAATCTTTAATTATTTGACACATTTGCTGCTAATTGACATTAAACTATCATTATTAAAAAAATGTTTATATTTAGTCTAATTAACAAAATTATGTCTATTAACATCTATTTTAAAAATAATATAGAAATACAATAATATGTTATCATATAAAAAAAATTTTGACAGTTAGTCTAAATAATAATTGATTAATTGCCAGCGAAAAAAACATAAAACTAAACTAAGTTATCAATAATTCTTAAATATATCATTTTTAGAAAATAAAAATAAATAAAATATTTTATGTAAATTACAATTTATAAGAGTAGAAAATATTAACATTTAGATTGTAATATTAGTATTAAATAATTAATAAAAAATATTTAAATATAATTATCATTATCTTTACCTTTCTAATGAGTTTCTCAGCTGAAACTGGTTTACCGATAATTTGTGCGGTAAATGGACAGCCATTAAGTAATTGTTTTTTAAAATAAATGTTAATCTTGTAGTCACCCGGCAATAGTGGCACATAATATGCCTCAACGTTGTTGTCTTCATTGAGTCGATCGAAATCAAAGATTATTTCGGGATTTTTCGGGCCTTCAATCGTATGGGTTATGTCTTTATATAAATCACTGTATAATTAATGATCAAAATTATTATTAATTATATATTTAATGTGACATATCATTTACAATACTTAAAAGTTTATATTGTATGATAATTAAATTTTAATTAATAACTAAAATATACATTTAATTTGTTAATTGTTTTTGCTTATTATAAATACTATAAATGTTTGTATTACTTGTATTAATAATTTATATTCTATATATTATATAAACATTTTTGTATAAACATATTTTAGTTAAGTCAACATTTGTATAATATTTTTTTTATAAAAAAACAATTATTAATTTTTTATTAAGTTACCTAATATTATTTTAGAAGTATAGATTTGTAAATAAATATAAATTTAAAATTATGTATTAAAAATAATAAAATATTTGAATAAAATACATACGCAGATGAATCGTCTGAATTGATGGGCAAACCTGAGAAATAAATTAGACATCGTTTGCCTGTCTTTCCCTCAACCAGTCCCGGACCAAACACATTGATATTATCGACTTCAATGTCAGACATTGTTGTTATTATTATTATATTAATAATATATTTATTATTAAATTATTATATAATTGCAATTCAAATGATATAATTAAAATTATTAATAATAATAAAAAAAATAATTTAATTGAAATCAATTTGATTTTGAATTGAAAACAATTTTTAAAAATTAATAAACTTTAGTTTAAAAGAAAACTTATATTTAAAAATAATAAGTATTATTGAAATTTAAATAATATCTGGACTTATAAATGATTAAACATTTGCCGTGAATTACTGTCTCTTTTATAGTCACACTTGAAGTCTAACAAAACCAATCACTTAAGTCATGCTTTATACTAATAACCCGTAAGAGTGAGTGAGTGAAGAGTGAGTGTGTGTGTGAGTGTGAGTGAGTGAGTGAGTGAGTGAGTGAGTGAGTGAGTGAGTGAGTGAGTGAGTGAGTGAGTGAGTGAGTGAGTGAGTGAGTGAGTGAGTGAGTGAGTGAGTTAGAGAGAGAGAGAGAGAGAGAGAGAGAGCATATATATATCATTTATGCATATTATTCATACATATAGAGTAATCATGAATATATATATATTACAGAATATTCTGTATAACTATTAACTAAAATAAAGAAACATTTTATATACAGTACACACTCTAATAGTAATAAAAATTTTTGATGGGTTTAAAAAAATTATATGCAATTTGCGTACAGTATTTTGCACTTTGCAATAATATGCGTGAATTTTATTTTATATTTTTGAATGTCATCTTATAGTTTCTCTATATGTCTCACATTATATTAAATATTTTTACCAAAATATATAAATATATATTTATTTATATTTATAAAAATATAATTAGTGTTAAGTTTTTTTTCGTATATATTTTTGGCTCAAAACAATTTTTTTACTCCAAACCAGAATATTTACATTCAAATATATACAGTAATATTTATACATGTTTTATGTTATAATAAATGTAACCATTTATTAGAGTACAATAGCTCAGACATTTCACTCATGAAAAACAATATTTTATTAAAATGCTAAATAAATAACAGAATATTTAACATATCAACGTTGCTGAGGGGCAGGCATATCCAGTGACATACCAGTATAATGACACCAGTGCTTATGGCACTGGTATCTCTATAAGTCAGTGTCAATGTCAGTGTCGTTGGTGTTGTTGTTGTACAGTATTATGAGCTTTGATATATCATTAGATTTATAATTGTAGGATATATATATATATATATATAATGTGTTGAAATGGGATTCAAGTGAGAGTACAGTAGATATCATTTTTTTAATTTTTATTTTTTTTACTTTTGTTGTTGTCATTCATACCAATGATGACAAACATAAGATAACAAACAAAAATATTGCGAAATTTTTTACGACAATTGAATGAACTCATGAACTCATCCTTTTTTGCACAGGATATCAATTTTTTCATTAATGTGTAGAAGATATATATATATATATATAAATTATGTTTAAATATTTGTGAAGTTCAAAGTTTAGCAAAAAATGTTTGTATTGTATTTCAATTTTTTTCAAATAAAATATTATCATATATTGTTTTATCAGATAACAATGTGCTGCTTATGCATAACATTGATACTGTAAAAAACTAAACAGTAGTTTTTTAGCCTTTTCACTATTAGTTAATTAGCTAATAATTAATGTTTTTACGTTAGCCACATAGTAAATCAATGTTAATTAAATATTTGCATAATTCAATGATATAATCTTTGAATATATATATATAGTGTAAAAATTTATATTTTACAAAACTTATTATTTTAAAGTAATTAATTTTGCTAATTAATTATATTGTTTGAAAAACTTAGAGCATATATAAATAGATTTATTAATAAATTTGTCTATAAATTGCAGATTATCTAAATTTTTCAATAAAATTTCTAAAAATATTCAATCTAATAATTTAAGACATTTTTTCCTATAATAAATTTTACAATCAAATATTTATTCAAAAAGGCGTCAAAATTAATCGTATGACTAAATGTATAAAAATTTGCAGACATAAACTCAATATTTATATATTCAAATTTAAGTGATTTGTATATTAACTTTTTGATACATTGTAAGTGATGTGGTATTTGTTGATAAATGCAAATGTTTTAACTAATAATTTGAAAATTTTCAGTTCATTTATTATAACGTTATAGCATTATAGTATAATTCAATATAACTGTATTTATCATAGTTTGGTGTTAGTGTTAGTGTCAATGTTTTGATATATATGTATATAGAGTTACTTAAATAAATCTTTAGTATTTGGTGCCAATAAGTCATTCAATATGCTATTGTAGTTAACAATATACTTGTGTTATATAAATATTATTATTATATTTTTTTGATGTAATTATACTATAATAACAGCGATACTAATCTTAATAAACTGTTGGATACAGTGATCTGGGATTTTATCATACATTAGATATGCATTATATATTATGAATCCTTATTTTTGTGTATTTTAAAAATTTAGTATACTATAAATAGAAAACAAATGTTATGTAATTTTATTTATAATTATTTTTTAATTTATAAAAGCATCACAAGAATAATACTTTTTAAAATAAATTTTATAATTTATGTATATATACAGTATATATATGATAAATGGAAAATAAATCATTTTTATTTACAAAATTATGATTTATTTGTTATGTAATTAAACTAGCATGAAATTTTTTCAAATTAATATCTCTAATTACATAAGTAGTAAATATTATGAAAATTATATTTTGTTATTATTATTTACACACAAAAATTATTATTAGTAGATAACATGCTTTACTGATTATTTGAATACTGTATTAATATTTATAGTTTATTTGATTTTAATTGCAAACATAGTAATATATAAACTACATAAACTGTATGTAATTCTTAAATAATGATATAAATAGTGTAAAATAATTATAAAATATATTATAAAACAAAAAATATATCATAAGTATTATATGTTTACCATGACATTTAAATAGTAAAAATCTAAATTAGATGTAATTTTTTTTTATAAAACATTTTGAGTATCTCTCACAAAAAAAAGATTAACATATTTTTGTAATATTTCCAATGTTTGTTACAACAGAAATAAATCTAATGTTTGTATCTTTTCCATCCCCTCCTCCAAAAAAATCATAACTAATCCCATAAATCATATACACAACATTCCTTACTATTTTGAAAAATATGATATTTTAATTGCTAATTGTCCTTGTACACATGTCTACTCTCATATGACTAGAGATATTGAATATATATATATATATATATATATATATATATATATATATATATATATATATATATGTGTGTATATTAATTTAATAAAAAATTATGTCTTTTAACACATACATAAAAGATAGAGATTTAAATTTAAGATTTAAAGAAAAAGATTTGTTTCAAATGTGTGTATATTTTTAAAAAATATATAATTATTTTGTCTAATTATATTGTTAATGAACTTACATAAAGTTGAAAATAAATGTGATGTCAAATATACATTATATCATATATTCAGTACATAATGTTTAAAAAAGAGTTTATAAATATTATATATAATATACAGTATTAATATAAACGCATTTTAAAATAATTATATTTATTGTTATTTGTGTAATTTGTATTAAATAAATTATTTAGTAATATTTAAAATGTTTTAAAAAATAAACATACAATATAATGAGTATAAATTTTTTAATTATCAGTTATATAATTTAAACAATTTTTAAATTACAATATTTTAGTCAATATTAAAAAAAAAATGTTAGTTTCTATTAGAGATGGGCAAAAAGAAATTTTCAATAAATTTTATAATAAAATTTCTAAAAAATAATTTTCTATAGCTATTGTAATACTATATTAATATAACATAATAAAGCTATGCTATATTAAGTATAGTATACACTGTATAGAACTTATGGAAATCATATTTGTATTTTGTAGTAGTTTAGTGTACTGTATAGTATAGTACAAAATATAAATATAATTTCCATAAGTTATATAAAAAATTAATATATAATCTAATTATAATTAAAGTTTTTGTAGCATTTTATTAATAATTCATTATATTTTTTAGCTTAATTTTATATACTTTAAATATTAAGTAAAATACCAATAAAAATATTTAGTTATTATTTGTAATTATAATGTATTGTTACAACAAAACAAAATTAATATATAGATTCCATAGACAGGAATTTCTTTTAGAAACTTTTTAGAAAATTTTCTTTTTTTGCAGTAAAGTATTGTATATAGTATTGCATTAATAGTATAAACTATCGACAAATATTCAATATATTAAATACTATGTATTTTTGCGTTTGTTTATTAGCAAAAAAAATGTCAATCAGAAATATACTATAATATATAACTATATATATAGTGTATTTGGCTCAAAACAAGTAGTTTATATTTTTTCAATTACAAGTAAAGTAATATAATATATTATCAGTTTTTTGCGAAATATTTTAAAAATAGTTCAAAATTTTTATTGTTATTTATAGCTTAATTGACTTGTATTTTTTAACTTGTAAATTAGTTCACTTTTTTAAAAAAAAATTATTTACTAATTGACACAACATTAATATTTAAACATTTTGTTTTTAATAATTATTAGAAATATATTTATATAAATATTACAATAGTATAACAAATTAAAATACTAAAATATTTATTCAAAATGTCAAATTTAAAACTTAATCAATATGTCAATTAAAGATTTAATAAATTGCCTTTTCTAATATTTAATATAAAAAAATTAACTTAATTATAAATATTATAATATGTTATAATAATATATAAATTCAATTCATAAATTTATAAAATTTGTGATAAAATCACAATAATGTATTTATTATGAATAAATTTTATATAACTAATTATTTGAAATGACAAAACTAATGATATATAGAAGTTATTAAAATAAAATATTATAATGTGTGAATAAATACTAAATTTATAATAATAAATGAATAGGAATAATACATAATTACA